ACAGGAGCCACAGTGCTTTTCCATGTCATAGTCTACAGAGCCATGTCAATGTGTGAAGTGTGATGTGACAGCCAAACGCCCTATAAATACAGTTGCCATTGAAAAGCAGCGTTAGAGAAGGTGTGACATTTTCTAAATGGTGTTTTTAACCATACTTTTTGAACTAGCTGATGAACTTATTCAACCAGGTTATTCCTAAGGTATTGTATTTATGATGCATTTATGTATTTATGACTCACAAGTCCATGCTTCATTGGCAGATGCTGTAAAGACTGATAACTGTGGTTGAATGTACCTTTGTAGCACCATGGTAATAACAATGACTTCAGTGTGGTTTGCTATACTGACACAATTGCAATACTCTATTATAAACACTGGACCCACTTCTTATACTGTTCTCCTGAGTGGCGCAGTGGTCTAAGGCACTGCATCGCAGTGCTAACTGTGCCACTAGAGATCCTGGTTCGAATCCAGGCTCAGTCGCAGCTGGCCGCGACCGGGAGACTCATGGGCGGCGCACAATTGGCCCAGCGTCATCCAGGGTAGGGGAGGGAATGGCCGGCAGGGATGTAGCTCAGTTGATAGAGCATGGTGTTTGCAACGCCAGGGTTGTGGGTTCGATTCCCACGGGGGGCCAGTATAAAAAATATATATATGTATTCACTAACTGTAAGTCGCTCTGGATAAGAGCGTCTGCTAAATGACTAAAATGTAAATGTAAAATGTTATACTCAATCACATTCACAACAATTGCCACAGACCAACCAACAATCCAATGTCACTCAGAGGGTAGATGATAAAGCATCAGGGGACAGGAAGTGGGTCCAGTGTTTACAATAGAGTATTGCACTGGGGCTTTATGGGTCAAGAGCCTGGACCTGTGATCATGTGACTGCAGGTTTACATCTACATTCAGGTATTGGAGGTGCTTTAGTCTTGATTTTATTACACAGCACTGTAATGTTCAAACCATGGCTGGCACACCAGAGAGCTGGAGAGAAGGAGAGTGGACAACAGTCTTTAGTTCCAATCAGGCACTTAAAGGCATAATTTAACTAATCACCTTGCCACCTGAACTAAAGGGCACACTATAAAATGGGACAACAAGAGCTTGATTAGTTCAATCGGGTGTTTTACTGCCTTCAGGAGTTTTGAGCTGTAGCGAAATGCTTGTGCTTCTAGCTCTGACAGTGCAGTAATATCTAACAACTAATATCTAACAATTTCACAACATATACCGAATACACACAAATCTAAGTAAGGAATGGAATTAAGAATATATACATATATGGACAAGCAATGACAAAAATGACAGAGCGGCATGGACTAAGATACAGTAGAATATTATAGAATACAGTATACATATGAGATGAGTAATGCAAGATATGTAAACATTATTAAAGTGACTAGTGTAAATCTATCTCAAGGCCAGTGATTTCAATAGGCAGCAGCAGCCTCTAATGTGCTAGTGATGGCTATTTAACAGTCTGACGGCCTTGAGATAGAAGCTGTTTTTCAGTCTCTCGGTCCCAGCTTTGATGCACCTGTACTGACCTCGCCTTCTGGATGATAGCGGGGTGAACAGGCAGTGGCTCGGGTGGTAGATGTCCTTGATGATCTTTTTGGCCTTCCTGTGGCATCAGGTGCTGTAGGTGTCCTGGAGGGCGGGTAGTTTGCCCCCGGTAATGCATTCGGCAGACCACCCTCTGGACAGCCCTGCGGTTGCGGGCAGTGCAGTTGCCGTACCAGGCAGTGATACAGTCCGACAGGATGCTCTGAATTGTGCATCTGTAAAAGTTTGTGAGGGTTTTAGGTGCCAGGCCAAATTTCTTCAGCCTCCTGAGGTTGAAGAGGCTCTGTTGTGCCTTCTTCACTACACTGTCTGCATGGGTGGACCATTTCAGTTTGTCAGTGATGTGTACGCCTAGGAGCTTGAAGATTTCCACCTTCTCCACTGCGGTCCCGTTGATGTGGATAGGGGTGTGCACCCTCTGCTGTTACCTGAAGTCCACGATCATCTCCTTTGTTTTGTTGACGTTGAGTGAGAGGTTATTTTCCTGGCACCACACTCCCAGAGCCCTCACCTCCTCCCTGTAGGCTGTCTCGTCATTGTTGGTAATCCAGCCCTCTGGACAGCCCTGTGTCGTCTGCAAACTTGATGATTGAGTTGGAGGCATGCTTGGCCACGCAGTCATGGGTGAACAGGGAGTACAGGAGGGGGCTGAGCACACACCCTTGAGGGTCCCAAGTGTTGAGGATCAGCGAAGTGTAGATGTTGTTTCCTACCTTCACCACCTGGGGGGGTGGCCCGTCATGAAGTCCAGGACCCAGTTGCACAGGGCGGGGTTCAGACCCAGGGCCTCGAGCTTAATGATGAGCTTTGAGGGTACTATGGTGTTGAATGCTGATCCAAGCGGATCCTTCTGAAATGGGTGACAGAATTTTCCTTCGGGTACATTTTGCTCGGATCGGTAGAGGCCTATCACTCTAATCCAACAGTGACAGTCGATCATTACTGACTGTCGTTCCAGTAGCACTGTCTGCCAGTCTAAACACACACCTCATCTTTACAAGGTAGTCTTCTGCTCCACTGGCTCCCTTACCCTGACTCATTGTGACTCCATTTTCCCTTAGCTAATATTCACTGCAGTCTGTTTTCACTCTGTCTCTACTCTCTCTCTCTCTTTCTCTCTCTCTCTCTCTCTCTCTCCTCTCCCTTATTCTCTCTCACTCTCTCACTTTCTCTCGCTCTCTCACTAATTAATTATCTCCTTAATGTTTTTGTGATTTGAAAATCTTTTCCCCCTACCCTGATAACTGGCACATCTGTCTCTCCAGTTCCTCTTTTGACAGTGACCTGTGAAACAGATCTGAGATCTAACCGTAGCCTCCGGCAAGGGTGCTCAAGGATTTTACACAGCTCATTTTCTATCTCCAACTTTGTTGCTACATTCTCTCAGGGTCCAGAAGAAAAGTGATAAGAAACTGGAGATAAATACAGCACAAATGCAGTCAAGTACCAGTATGTACTTTTCTTAGAAACAAATATATGCAATGTAATAAACTGATAACCAAATCCGTTTTCAAAGGTTTAATCTTCCAGAGAGATTAATATCTACTGTATATTTTTTGAATCACTTCAACTTCGCAATAACTCCTACTTTCAGTGCAATACCAAATAAGTCAGGATTTAGTCTTATACACACAGTGTCTGAAAGCCTTTCAGCCTTCTGGATGAGGCTTGGGTCATAGTGGGCAAATCAATGCTAATGCATTGCTTACCTGTTTTCCTACAGTGTAAACAAGCCATATGAATTAGCTATGAGTGGCAGATCTGTCGGGTCCTGTGCCATTGCCCTAGCCTGCTGTCATTAAAAAAGCTCCTCTTGCAGAGGGGAGAAGATAGATGGCAATATCAGGCGCTGGGCCGCTTGGCTGCCAGTCAAGTCCAATTGCATCCATTTGAAATTCCAGTTTAGTCAGGTAGAACTATACTTAGAGGGAGATTGCCTATTGCCCAGAACCTAATTTCACCCATGTAGAGTACACCTTAATTCACCCACATCCACAACAGAAAATACATACAAACACACACACACACACTCACGCACACACACACACACGAAGGAGCACACATACACACATACAAACAAATGTGCACACACATGCAGGCATGAACACACACACGGCCAGGTGCACACATGCAAACACACTAATGCACGAACATACACACACACACATACACACACACACACAAACAGCTGCCATGCTCAAAGCGACCTAGCTACTACTTGTCAAACACATAATCACACACACACGCAGACTCAAATTTATATTCAAACAAAATGCTAATTTAGAACATGGACAGCTGTGTGTCTTGTAGAGTAGAACAGTCCTAGAAAAGAAGATCAAATTAACTCCATTGAGTCATACAGCAGGCATTTGCTAAGAGTGATAACAAGAGAGTAGTTTTGAGGTTGACAACAACAAAACAACGGCTTGGCATGTGTAATACACTTTGGAACAAATTAAACATTTAGAGTATAAAAATGAATATGTAGCAATGTTCCGAAAAGCAAAGACACAGCCAAAACACTCATATCCTGGCGCCACAATCTCCTGCAGAGTGAACTACTATGCAGTCAAGCATAAATCATTGAGATGGCTGAGAAACAGGCAAAAAGGACAACTCCACTCATTATAAAAGATAGATGGATGGTGGAATAAATTGTAAAGCCGCCAATTCATGATGGATCAGAGAACACACAACTCCCAGACAGAGTGACAGAGAAGGGCTGTGTGTGTCTGCAAAGATGTGTTTGTGTGTGTGGTGTGTGTGTGTGTGTGTGTGTGTGTGTGTGTGTGTGTGTGTGTGTGTGTGTGTGTGTGTGTGTGTGTATGTGTGTATGTGTGTGTGTGTGTGTGTGTGTGTGTGTGTGTGTGTGTGTGTGTGTGTGTGTGTGTGTGTGTGTGTGTGTGTGTGAGTGTGTGTGTGTGTGTGTGTGTGTAGCGGAATATGTCCATTATGAAGGAAACCATGAAAACATGTCTGAGTTTATTTGAGGGTTATGTACTATTCATCGTGGCTCTATACAGATACAAGGACTGTGTGTGAATGTGTGTGGGTGTACACGGGCACGAGTGTGTGAGTCGGCCTTACACAACGTCCTCACTCCTTCTTTAATCAGAAACTTGCTCCATGCCAAGGTGAGCTTTATGGCAAGGTCTATCCATACCCAGCTTCCTCTGACTGGAAATGCCAGGGCAGTTTCCAGGGCACCTGAATTTCAAAGTGAACGTGTCACACAAATGACTTTAAGCGCCACTCACTTCTTTTATTTATCCTTCACCCCTCTTTTTGGATGGACATCTAAATTACTGCACAGGCTCTGGTTTTAAGAGTCCCTGTCACCTGTCAGGGTGCCTCCACAGCAGCCACTGGCAACAGAGCCCAACAGATCCCTGCTGCATAATTCAAAGCTGTTCCCAGATCTGTCTCATTAAGTGTCCTGGCTGGGGTCCATGGCTCCAGCAGAGGGTTCTATGTGTTCTCTGGGTTCCTGGTAGCGGGCAGTGGGGCATGCCTCCATTCCTCCATCCCACCTTCCAGGTATGAGTTGCCAGAACCAGGGTCTTGTCATATCTGCATGGCTGCCCTGTTCAATACACCTTAGTGGCTAGCCTGTGAGTTGACGTGTCAGTGGGTATTTCATTAGAGGAGTGGTGAAGTGGGGCGACAGAGGTGGGACACACACACACACACACACACTGACCTGCCAGGTGAGGAGGGCAGGTGACAATCACTGCTCTGCACAAGTAGGACTGGGTGGCTGTCATCACCTTGGCCTGCTCAGCATCCTATGGGAAAGACACACACATGCATGTACTGTACATGAACTCGCACACACACACACAGACAAATCAAATCACAAACACATATAATCGTGTGTACATCTACAGTATACAGTGCCTTGCAAAGGTATTCATCCCCGTTTGCGGTTTTCCTATTTTGTTGCATTACAACCTGTAATATAAATGGATTTTAATTTGGATTTCATGTACAGGACACAAAATAGTCCAAGTTTGTGAAGTGAAATGAAAAAAATAACTTTTATACAAAAATAAATAACGTAAAAAAGTGGTGCGTGCATATGTATTCACCCCCTTTGCTATGAAGCCCCTAAATAAGATATGGTGCAACCAATTACCTTCAGAAGTCACATAATTAGTTAAATAAAGTCCACCTCTGTGCAATCTAAGTGTCACATGATCTCAGTATATATACACCTGTTCTGAAAGGCCCCAGAGTCTGCAACACCACTAAGCAAGGGGCACCACCAAGCAAGCGGCACCATGAAGACCAAGGAGCTCTCCAAACAGGTCAGGGTCAAAGTTGTGGAGAAGTAAAGATTAGGGTTGGGTTATAAAAAAATATCTGAATCCCACAGAGCATCATTAAATCCATTATTAAAAAATTGAAAGAATATGGCACCACAACAAACCTGCCAAGAGAGGGCCGCCCATCAAAACTCACGGACCAGGCAAGGAGGGCATTAATCAGAGTGGCAACAAAGAGACCAAAGATAACCCTGAAGGAGCTGCAAAACTCCACAGCGGAGATTGGAGTATCTGTCCATAGGACCACTTTAAGCCGTACACTCCACAGAGCTGGGATTTACAGAAGAGTGGCCAGAAAAAAGCCATTGCTTAAAGAAAAAAATAAGCAAACACGTTTGGTGTTCGCCAAAAGGCATGTGGGAGACTCCCCAAACATATGGAAGAAGGTACTCTGGTTAGATGAGACTAGAATTGAGCTTTTTGGCCATCAAGGAAAACGCTATGTCTGGCGCAAACCCAACACCTCTCATCACCCTGAGAACACCATCCCCACTGTGAAGCATGGTGGTGGCAGCATCATGCTGTGGGGATGTTTTTCATCGGCAGGGACTGGGAAACTGGTCAGAATTGAAGGAATGATGGATGGCGCTAAATACAGGGAAATTCTTGAGGGAAACCTGTTTCAGTCTTCCAGAGATTTGAGACTGGGATGGAGGTTCACCTTCCAGCAGGACAATGACCCTAAGCATACTGCTAAAGCAACACTTGAGTGGTTTAAGAAACATTTAAATGTCTTGGAATGGCATAGTCAAAGCCCAGACCTCAATCCAATTGAGAATCTGTGGTATGACTTAAAGATTGCTGTCACCAGCGGAACCCATCCAACTTGAAGGAGCTGGAGCAGTTTTGCCTTGAAGAATGGGCAAAACCCCAGTGGCTAGATGTGCCAAGCTTATAGAGACATACCCCAAGAGACTTGCAGCTGTAATTGCTGCAAAAGGTGGCTCTACAAAGTATTGGGGGGGGGTGAATAGTTATGCACGCTCAAGTTTTCAGTTTTTTTGTCTTCTATCATATTTGTTTCATAATAAAAAATATTTTGCATCTTCAAAGTGGTAGGCATGTTGTGTAAATCAAATGATACAAACCCCCCAAAAATCGATTTTAATTCCAGGTTGTAAGGCAACAAAATAGGAAAAATGCCAAGGAGGGTGAATACTTTCGCAAGCCACTGTACAATGTACTATACAGCACACAGTAGCTGTGACAGACAGGCAGCATTAGTATTCCTCTCCAGTAGGCCGGACCAGACCAGGCAGCACTCTGGGGGCTATCTGCCCTTAGGAGCACATTGAGATGAGCAGCACAGAGATATGGAGGCACAGTGGATATTATAGATGACCCTGGAGGGCAGGGCCCCGGGGAGAAATATAATAGTGCCGTCCATTATGGATGACCAAAACTCTGGACACTCCGGGGAAGCCAATACGTTCTTATTAAGGGAGAATGCTATGGGGCCAACAGTGTTAAGCCGAGTGGTACCACGGTCATGCAGCACGGAGGACATGAAAGGAATCATTGGGTTGATTTAAAAGCCTCATTAGGTTGGTACATCAAAATTACATGGCTATTAGATGGTCCTTTATCTTGTAAATAATCGAGTAATTATTTGAGTAATTTTAACCTTTTAAATAATCATATTTTTCGAGAATGGCTTTTAGATGTTCCTTTTAACCTATCACGTAAGCACTTTATTATCCTTTTTATAGAGAGGGTCATTTCCTGTAAACTGTTGTGCCTTTCATCTACAGTAACTAGCCAAATGCATTACCTTTGATCCACTTCCACCATGTACACAAACACTCAAAGGTCACAGAGAGTGTCTTCACTCAATAGGCTAACACACATCTACACTGATGCAATGCAATGCCAGTGCTCGGTGGTGCCTCTCAGTAGCATGAGAGAGAGAGAAAGAGAGAGAGAGAGAGTAGAGAGAGTAGAGAGAGAGAGAGAGAGAGAGAGAGAGAGAGAGAGAGAGAGAGAGAGAGAGAGAGAGAGAGAGAGAGAGAGAGAGAAGAGCAGAACAGACAGAGGCCCACAGGAGATGGCTTGTTCCCTGTCTGAAGTGACTGTTATCTCAGGGTCACACCTCGTCATTCCCTGAGTGAGCTGTTACTGTACGCTACCTGCCATATGGCCGTCACAGCCTGGCCCAGCCGGACACTCTCCCTCCCAATCTGCTGGGCTAAACGCTCTGACAGCTGCTGGGTTCCCCCCTGTGGACACAGAGCAGCCTTACAGTCCAATGTCAGTGCAGTGACAAGAAGTGTAGACCATCAGTGAGCTGAGTTTAATTAGGTAGGTGGTAAGCAAGCAATATCCAGATCCAAGTGCAACAAAAATCTGATGCAGTTTCTCTCTGTTTATCTATCTATCCAGTATCACTTTTTCTCTTTCCCTTTCTGTATCTCTCTATACTGTACATGGCTCTCCCCTAAATCTCTCTAGCTCTCTTTTCAATATCTCGTTCTCCAAGACCCAACAAAACAGGAGAATTCTCCTGTCTTTCCATAGAGAGCAACGGAAGTGACTTCTACGACTCCTATGTCATTGGTGAGCTGCAATTCCCCAATTCCCCAATTCCCAACACACTCTACTCCTCTCCCTAACCCACTCTGTGAGGGTCAAAAGACCATAGGCTCGACTCGGGTCGCCCCCACCATCAGCGGTCCCCTACTCTACCCCCTGTGGAGGCAGAGAGAGGGTTAGAGAGAGGGTTAGAGCCCATCCCAGGTCACCTTGACCCTGAACTCCTGCGCTGAGCCTGGGGTGCTCTCCAGCAGGCACAGGACGCCTCCAGCTGCTGCAGCATACATGAGGAAGTAGAGGAAGGACATTTGATTTGGCTCCATGCCAAACAAAACCCGGCTGCACACACCCATCTCCTCCTTCATCTCTGGAGACAGGGAGAGAGAGAGAGAGAGAGAGAGAGAGAGAGAGAGAGAGAGAGAGAGAGAGAGAGAGAGAGAGAGAGAGAGAGAGAGAGAGAGAGAGAGAGAGAGAGAGAGAGAGAGAGAGAGAGAGAGAGACCAAACAAATATATATTTGTATTATTTATTTCATTTTTGACCTGACTATACATAATAGATGGTTCTTCTAAGATATATGTGGCCATCCATCAGCCAAGGCCTCTGGCTGTGCCTGAGGCAGGATGCACATCACCCAGGAACACTTGAGAGCGTCCTCTAGGTACGGTAGGGGAAAATCAAATCCATTCATTTTCTAGCAGTGCAAACGTACAGTGGAACACCCAATTCTGGATAGCTCTGAATCTGTAATAAACTCAATTATAAACTCTTCGACCTGATTTTTCATTTGTTCTCGTGGTATCTTGACCGTATCCCAGCTCTGCTGTTGTCTATACCCACACTATTATAAAACAATTAAAATATACAAATCAACAACAAGTCTTTGGTTTACATGCCCTTGGTGTTGTTTTGATGTCAAATTCTTAGTGATTGGGGTGAGGTGTGAGAGGTGGTGCTGCTCACCTTCTGTCCAGGCATGTTTCTCTATGTAGGAGTGTAGGGTCATACTGTCCAACTCCTGGGCATTGGGGGTCTTCATGGGGTCCTCCACTGACACTGTGGCAATCAACCTGTCAATCTGACACACAGCACATACAGTGAGGGAAAAAAGTATTTGATCCCCTGCTGATTTTGTACCTTTGCCCACTGACAAAGAAATGATCAGTCTATAATTTTAATGGTAGGTTTATTTGAACAGTGAGAGACTAACAACAAAATAATCCAGAAAAACGCAAGTCAAAAATTTTATAAATTGATTTGCATTTTAATGAGGGAAATAAGTATTTGACCCCCTCTCAATCATAAAGATTTCTGGCTCCCAGGTGTCTTTTATACAGGTAACGAGCTGAGATTAGGAGCACACTCTTAAAGGGAGTGCTCCTAATCTCAGTTTGTTACCTGTATAAAAGACACCTGTCCACAGAAGCAATCAATCAATCAGATTCCAAACTCTCCACCATGGCCAAGACCAAAGAGCTCTCCAAGGATGTCAGGGACAAGATTGTAGACCTACACAAGGCTGGAATGGGCTACAAGACCATCGCCAAGCAGCTTGGTGAGAAGGTGACAACAGTTGGTGCGATTATTCACAAATGGAAGAAACACAAAATAACTGTCAATCTCCCTTGGCCTGGGGCTCCATGCAAAATCTCAACTCGTGGAGTTGCAATGATCATGAGAACCGTGAGGAATCAGCCCAGAACTACACGGGAGGATCTTGTCAATGATCTCAAGGCAGCTGGGACCATAGTCTCCAAGAAAACAATTGGTAACACACTACGCCGTGAAGGACTGAAATCCTGCAGCGACCGCAAGGTCCCCCTGCACAAGAAAGCACATATACAGCGCCGTCTGAAGTTTGCCAATGAACATCTGAATGATTCAGAGGAGAACTGGGTGAAAGTGTTGTGGTCAGATGAGACCAAAATCGAGCTCTTTGGCATCAACTTAACTCGCCGTGTTTGGAGGAGGAGGAATGCTGCCTATGACCCAAAGAACACCATTCCCACCGTCAAACATGGAGGTGGAAACATTATGCTTTGGGGGTGTTTTTCTGCTAAGGGGACAGGACAACTTCACCGCATCAAAGGGACGATGGACGGGGCCATGTACCGTCAAATCTTGGGTGAGAACCTCCTTCCCTCAGCCAGGGCATTGAAAATGGGTCGTGGATGGGTATTCCAGCATGACAATGACCCAAAACACACGGCCAAGGCAACAAAGGAGTGGCTCAAGAAGAAGCACATTAAGGTCCTGGAGTGGCCTAGCCAGTCTCCAGACCTCAATCCCATAGAAAATCTGTGGAGGGAGCTGAAGGTTCGAGTTGCCAAACGTCAGCCTCGAAACCTTAATGACTTGGAGAAGATCTGCAAAGAGGAGTGGAACAAAATCCCTCCTGAGATGTGTGCAAACCTGGTGGCCAACTACAAGAAACGTCTGACCTCTGTGATTGCCAACAAGGGTTTTGCCACCAAGTACTAAGTCATGTTTTGCAGAGGGATCAAATACTTATTTCCCTCATTAAAATACAAATCAATTTATAACATTTTTGACATGCATTTTTCTGGATTTTTTTGTTGTTATTCTGTCTCTCACTGTTCAAATAAACCTACCATTAAAATGATAGACTGATCATGTCAGTCAGTGGGCAAACATACAAAATCAGCAGGGGATCAAATACTTTTTTCCCTCACTGTACATGTATGCATACACATGAATGATCTAAACCACTGGGGAGTCAGGCCCAGCCAGTTTTTCCCCACAAAACGGCATTATTACAGACAGAAATACTCCTCAGTTTCATCAGCTGTCCGGGTGGCTGGTCTCAGACAATTCCGCAGGTGAAGAAGACGGATGTGGAGGTCCTGGGCTGGCGTGGTTACATTCTGGTCTGCGGTTGTGAGGCCGGTTAGACGTACTGTCAAATTCTCTAAAGCGACGTTGGAGGCGGCTTATGGTAGAGAAATGCACATTCAATTCTCTGGCAACATCTCTGGTGGACATTCCTGCAGTCAGCATGCCAATGGCACGCTCCCTCAAAACTTGAGACATCAGGCCTCCCGAGTGGCGCAGTGGTCTAAGGCACTGCATCGCAGTGCTAGCTGTGCCACTAGAGATCCTGGTTCGAGTCCAGGCTCTGTCGCAGCCGACCAGGAGACCCATGGGGCGGCGTCGTCCAGGGTAGGGGAGGGTTTGGCCGGCAGGGATGTTCTTGTCCCATCGCACACTAGCGACTCCTGTTGGTGTGGCTGGCTTCCGGGTTAAGCGGGCACCGTGTTGAGAAGCAGTGCGGCTCAGTTGGGTTGTGTTTCGGAGGACGCGCCACTCTCGACCTTCGCCTCTCCCGTGTCCGTATGGGAGTTGCAGCGATGGGACAAGACTGTAACTACCAATTGGATACCACGAAAAAGGGGGTAAAATACCCCCCCCCCAAAAAAAAAAAAAAAAACTTCAGACATCTGTGGCATTGTGCTGTGTGACAAAACTGCTAGTAGCCTTTTATTGTCCCCAGCACAAGGTGCACCTGTGTAATGATCACGCTGTTTAACCTGCTTCTTGATATGCTACACCTGTCAGGTGGATGGATTATCTTGGCAAAGGAGAAATGCTCACTAACAGGGATTTAAACACATTTGCTCACAAAATTTTAGATAAATAATTTGCGTTAGAACACCTTGTGGCTTGGTTGTGACCTGTAACATTGGGGAGAATAATGTCCAGACGAGTTAGGTCCCCTACCTGCCGCAAGAGCTGTGACAGGTCCAGTAGCACCAGTGGAGAGAGGGCAGGGATACTGGTGCTGCTGGTGCGAACCTTGGCATGAGGACCTCCAACGTGGTGCACCTTCTTGCCTGTGGTGTATTGTGTGTAGACCTCCAGGCCAAACTCCTGAATGAGGTCCATGACGTATGTCTGAGTGCTGAGGTAAGAGGGACAACAACAGTTAGATTAGCAAAGTGATAATTGTTTTACTTTGATCTTACCAGCAAGGTCAACCGAGACTAAATCTAAATCAACCCACTGGGCAAAGAAGTTAATTCAAGGTCTATTCCACGTTGGTTCAATGTAATTTCATTAAAATGACGTGGAAGGTTTTGGGATTCAACCAGTGTGTGCCCAGTGGGAAGATTCATTGTCCATTATTTCATCAATAATGTTTCAGTTAATTGATTAATTTCCTGATTTGAATGTGCTGAAAATAAATCAATGATGAAATGGAGGCACATTATTTATCTGACCTGAGGCTCAGTAGTGTGATGCTGGTATGCATCCTCCCTCTTTTATCACAGTCCACTAAAGTCACTAAACTCCTGAGAGTGACACAAATGATCACTTTCTTTGCCATTAATAAATAATAGTCTGTTCCATGTTCTGACTGCATCCCTCTACTACCGTAGGTCTAAGAGGTTTCCCGTGATCGCACATAGACCTGTCCTTTTTGAAACACCTGACAGACTCCACAATGACAACCACCTTAGCTGCCTGGGTGCAGCAGTGGCCTCTACCAGTCTTCGCTCCAGGTCGATAGAAATCTATATAATCGTTCTAAGCCTGTGTCTAAGTGCGTTCCAGTAAGTCGATTTGTAGTGATTTCTGTCCTGGATGAAGCCCACTATTATTCTCCTGTAGTAATCATGCCACCTTTTTAGGCCGTATTGATAGCAGCTTTTATGATTTCCTCAAAGCTCTCTTGCTTTGCAGTACTCTCGGAATACAGATATGTTCAGTTCTGTTCGTTCCCTCCAATAGATTGGGAATGTGACTGTGTGAGAGGGAATTTCAGGGGCCTTTTTCATAGGCTTATACAGTATAATGGAATATCAATGACTGAAATGTAATGTACTACTTGGCACTTCCGCTTGGCATCCTTATAAATGTAAACTATGTATGAACTTTGTTTCTTTCCAAAGGTAAGCAGAAATCAGTCAGTCCATTTTCAAGGTAGTGCAAAAAGGCACATTAATTCCCTTCATAATGCCACTGCTCTGCTTGGCTGGATGACAAATTACCATTGATAAATTGTTCTTCATTACTTCACCATTCATCATTTAGACAATATTGTTGTGATTAAGCTGCATGATGACAGGGTTGGTTACTTTCAAAATATAATCCGTTATAGTTACTAGTTACCTGTCCAAAATTGTAATCAGTAATGTAATTTTGGGATTACCCAAACTCAGGTGGAACAAACTTTTTCAATGCTGAATTAAATGTCAATGAGAAAACAGAAAGGTCTCAATCATGTATTTTAGGGTTATGGTTAGGGGAAGGGTTAGCTAACATGCTAAGTAGTTGCAAAGTTGCTAAAAAGTAGTAAGTAGTTGCAAAGTTGCTAATTAATTAAAGTTGTCCGTGATGAGATTTGAACACACAACCTTTGGGTTCATAGATGTTCGTGTTATACGCCTCCCCATCCACCCCGACAAACCACTTTAGTTTCGTTTTTGAATTAAGTAACTTTCTGTCTTATGTAACCATACCAAACATAACATCCCATACTAATTTGAATGTCCCGGATTTCCGTGTACTATGTTACATCTAGTCTATGAGACCAGGCTGTTCCAAGAACCTACCTGCCAACCCACTGCCCTCCCATATCCCAGCGATCAATGCCGCCGGCGGCAGGTAATTCCTGGGTAACAGTTCGTCCTCCTACCCGGTCTGGAAAAAATACATACCCCGTCAATTTGATTAAAAATGTTCATCTTTATAATAGTGTTGCCTTCTAATTCCGTTTCGAATTGTTAAAATATTTCAGAATCTTGGACTGTAATTTCTGCGGAGAACGTTGATTGTTTCGCTGCATAATGAATGCCAAACAGTTTTTACAAACCTTTTCCTTCCAGAATTAATATTCTAAGTTTGCCATTTCTCTTCCGCAGAGTCTGAGCAGCACTCAGTCCTGACAGCCCAGCGCCAACAATAACAACATCCCACGTTTCTTCAGTCATGACTGCAAAACTCTGAAAACTTGGACTATTCTAACTAATCTGTTGGCTAAATGTGTCGTACTGAAGACTGTAACGGCTTTATCAAACGTTTACATCAGATAAGTCGTTTACATAATCAAGCCATAAACAGTCTTGTGGAAGACTTCGGGACTGGAAGAAAAAACGCAACAGCATATAGCCTAGTTGGCAACACTCCCTGCATGATTTAGCAAAACTCTGGGTGGAAGGTCATGATGGCTACAGATTAGCTCCATATTGTAGGCTATAGTTTATTGTGCAGTTATTGCCTGTTGCCCCAGGCTTCTATGCACATATCTTATTTATTCTCAATATTATTTTCATTTTAACACACTGAATTCGACAGTCACAGTCTAGTCTTTGACCTGCAGTATATCTCAACCATTATAGATACATCATCGCCCGTCTTCTTTTAGTAACACATTACTTCAACCCTCCATAATGCCTACATAAGGCGGTCATAAGGATGGCTTAACACGTCATGATATTAATGATTTAACACAAACGTTTCTAAGGCAGCAATCTGACTACCAGTCTCGCATACTGTAACATGATCATGGGATTAGTAGTGTGATATACAGTGAGAAAACAACATTCTCTGGTCTGATGAAACCAAGATTGAACTCTTTGGCCTGAATGCCAAGCGTCACGTCTGGAGGAAACCTGGCACCATCCCTACGGTGAAGCATGGTGGTTGCAGCATCATGCTGTGGGGATGTTTTTCAGCGGCAGGGACTGGGAGACTGGTCAGGATCGAGGGAAATATGAACAGAGCAAAGTACAGAGAGATCCTTGATGAAAACCTGCTCCAGAGCGCTCAGGACCTCAGACTGGGGCGAAGGTTCACCTTCCAACAGGACAACGACCCTAAGCACACAGCCAAGACAACGCAGGAGTGGCTTCGGGACAAGTCTCTGAATGTCCTTGAGTGGCCTAGCCAGAGCCCAGACTTGAACCCGATCGAACATCTCTGGAGAGACAAGAAAATAGCTGTGCTGCAACGCTCCCCATCCAACCTGAAAGAGCTTGAGAGGATCTGCAGAGAAGAATGGGAGAAACTCCCCAAATACAGGTGTGCCAAGCTTGTCGTGTCATACCCAGAAAGACTCTAGGCTGTAATCGCTACCAAAGGTGCTTCAACAAAAAGTACTGAGTAAAGGGTCTGAATACTTATGTAAATGTTATATTTCAGTATTTGTTTTTTAAATAAATGTGTAAAAATGTCTAAAAACCTGTTTTTGCTTAGTCATTATGGGGTATTGTGTGTAGATTCATGAGGGAAAACATTTATTTAATCAATTTTTGAATAAAGCTGTAACGTAACAAAAGTGAAGGGGTCTGAATACTTTCCGAATGCACTGTAAGCTACTAAAGTGAGCCCTTCTCCTGTTAACCAGTTTCAATGATGTCTGGAACCCCATGAGAGAGTGATGCATTGCAACTTCAAATATATCATTCAGTTTCCCATGAATAACTAATAACCTGCCTGCATCCTTCTGCTACTATGGGTGTAACTCTACAGTAAGACTAAGGTTTTCTCATGATCACACACAGACGGTCCTCTTTGAACCAGCTGACAGACTCCACAATGACAACCACTATTTAACCCTGTTCCCTATAACTTCTCCAGTTCTGTTTTGAGATTAACCAATTTATATATTCAGCTCCTTTTTTTATAGTCATATTCTTTAATGTACATCATGTTTCATCTGTCTTCATCTGGGATGGGATACTGCATGTCCAGGAAATTAAAGTCACAAATAATGTTAATGTCATGCAGTTGGTAATGTTACAGGAATATTTCTGGACAAACAAGGAAAACCTTATGGTAAATTGTAGCATCTGCTGAGAGTGCTGGCATAATTTAAGGGTTGACTGGGGATTATGTTAGAGGCAATTCATATTAACTGGTCTATTTGTTTTTGAGGAAATACGCAATTCACAGTCACACATGAGGATCTGTGGACTGCATCTCTAAAACATGTTCTGTGTATCCTGGAATAACCAGATGAATAACCAGTTTGTTGTCACCTGAGACCTGGCTGTTTGGATCACATTACCATGGCCTCCTAGCTCTTTGTTTGAAACCGGAGCTTATCCACAGATGGGAGGCGATAAGGTGAACAAAACATTTGACAAACATCGAAAAAATGTCAAACGTGTGGATTCAGGTTTAAGGTTTTCTTTGGGAAAAGAAAAAAAATGTTTTGATAGAAGACCTGTCCAATGAGATGAGCCTATGCTAATGAGATGGAGGAGGAATACAGGCATGAGTAGCTGTGTCAGAGGGATAGAGAGGAAGAAAGAGCAGAAGAAACAGAGAGAAGAGCACCTGTCGACATGCTTTGTCCATTAATTGGAATGGTTCTACATTTGGATGAGCGACCTTCATTCAGGTGAATTGTGTTCATTGTCATGTTGATTTCCCCTTTGTGCTATTGTGAGCTTTTTATTTTTTGGGCTACCTTGTATTGTTTTCAACCCTTGTTATAAAATCAAATCACATTTTATTTGTGACATCCTTTGGAAACAACAGGTGTAGATTAACAGTGTGTGAAAACAGCAGCGTGAAAACAATGTTATAGTCTATGTGGCATCAAATGATACAGTTGAAAAATAAATACATTATTTTGGAACTACTGTGTGCTTTAACCAAAGGGAACATCTGGTTTTAAAACGTTTTGATAAACTTGTCAGTATGAAAATGTATGCACTCACTAACTGTAAGTCGCTCTGGATAAGAGCGTCTGCTAAATGACTAAAATGTAAAATGTAAAACAATTGGTATTTCATAAAATACCCTATCCAAGAAGAAATAGCTTATCAAAGCATTTTACTTTATTTTGTTAATATCAGGACATTATCTTTTTGTCTCTAAATATACTTTTAAATACCAGTAGGTTGAATAGAATTTAGGTATATCAGATGTAGCTGTATAGCTGATGTTTTAGCGTGATGCAGGTCACAAATATGTCGCCATATGTTCAGTGTACCTGCACTTCTTAATACGTTGTCTATTACACAGTTCAAGTCTATTACACAGTTCAAGTCTGTTACACAGTTCAAGTCAGGACCGTTAGGCAGGAGACAATATAAAGGACACAGTCTACAAAACATGTTTTCAATAATTTTCTCTTTAAACCAGGTTCATTTAGCAATGAAGGTGTGTTTTTACAAATTGTCCCTTCACAAACACAGGATGCTCAGAATACCATGTCATGTGCTCATGTAGTTTTCAAGCAGGGCACCACAGAGAGCTATATGTATTTTCAAAGCATTGCTGTATGTGCTTGTCTGTTCAATGATGCCATGGTTCAAAATGTCTATCCATGCCTTCCTAGCTCTCACCCATGGTCTTCCATGATCGGGATATGTGCAATCACAGTTTTTCTCAATGCAGGTGAGGAAGTCCACCCTACACACGAACACACATGCACACACACCCACATGCACACACACACGCACACGCCCTTTCAGGACCTTCTTTCCTTGTTGTTTACAGCAATCTGTAAAGCAAGGAAATCATTCATTTCTATTACTAACCTATCCCTGAACTCAACACACAGACTCAGGATTTGGATGTATCACTGGAAACTAGATTGTTACAGACTGAATAGAACAGTCTATTTATTCATAACATTGTTCATCACTTGGGTAATGGTCTCCAGGTGTGTTGCCATGGTAGATACTGCCAGTTCACCCTGTTAACAAGAAGGCTTTTGTCTCTCTCCTGAGGGTGTACTAGTGTCCTGTATATGTTGTTGAGTTTGATTGCATCTCTCAGTTACTTCATTTCAATATGCTCGTCTAACACACAATAACAAACATCTCATATTGTAACTATAGGAGTCAAGGGTACAGCATCAATGTTTTTTTCACCATTTAAGAAACTACATTCAGGGAGATGTAGATTATAAAGAAGAAACGGAATACTAAATATCTCTCCTATGTTTTCTAAGCAGTAGGCCTACAGTAGTAATTAGTATTAGAAGGTCAAATTCAATAGACTTGAGAACTTGTCACTAGAAGTGAAAGGCTTTACAGTGACAGTATTTGAATGGCCCTAGGTGGCAGCATGGGGATGCGGCTGACTTCCACTGGTCCCCAGACCATCCAGAGGGCCCAAGGGGAGCGAATGACCCTGGGGTGTACATACTCACCTGAGCCCTCGGACACTGGAGAGCTGGATATTGAGTGGTCAGTGGTCAGCCCAGATACCACCCAAAATGACCAACTGGTAAGTGGCACTGAAGTTACCAAGTTATTCTAGGTGAGATCTCAGATTGTTATATAAAGCAATCAAAAGACATGCTGTTAGATAAAGTAGTTGGTTCAAGGACAGAACCCATTCCATTTCTTCCATCTGCTCACCTCTAGTTGCTAAACTATATCAAACCAATATTTTTTTTTTACCCTGTTCTGATTTTCAAATGTTGGGACTTCTTCAGCTGTTGTCCTATGCAGGTGGGAATAAGTACATCCATGGTGACCCTGGTCTAACTAAGGGGCTGGACTTTGCTGCTGGCGACCCTTCCCTGGGTGATGCGTCCCTCTCTATCACTTCCCTGTCACCAGCCCATTCTGCCACCTACCAGTGTAAAGTCAAGAAGTCACCGGGAGTGGACATGCGGAAAGTGTCCCTGGTCGTGATGGGTGAGACAGGCATTACATTTCAACCTTGGGCTAACATGTCAACATGCTGCATTATTTAAGCCTGGGTGGCTTGGTTTTAGCTGGTTGTGACGACTTGAATATCTTAAGGTGAATAAGTTCATGAAAATGTGGTTGGTTTTCTCCTCAAGAGAATGTCACTATCAAGTTTCAGGAGAAGACCCAGACAGTGTCGAAGAAACAAAACGTTATTACAAAAACAGGGCGTAGGCAAATGACAGGTCAAGAGCAGGCAGAGGTCAGTAATCCAGATCAGAGTCCAAAAGGTACAAAACGGCAGGCAGTCTCAGGGTCAGGGCAGGCAGAGGTCAAAAATCCAGGGTGTTATGACAAGGTACAGAACGGCAGGCAGGCTCAGGGCAGGCAGAATTGTCAAAACTGGGAAACAGGAACTTGAAAAAGACAGGCGCAAGAAGAAAACCACTGGTAGGCTTGATCAAACAAAATTAACTGGCAACAGACAAACAGAGAACACAGGTATAAATACACTGGGGATAATGGGGAAGATGGGCGACACCTGGAGGGGGGTGGAGACAATCACAAAGACAGGTGAAACAGATCAGGGTGTGACAGTCACCACTCCACATTTTCATTTGTTATTTTGACCTCATGAACCTCCAACTGTACTTCTGAACAACCTTCAAGGTACAGCAAGACCTTCAAACTGGGTATTTCTAAAGTGCTTTCACAATTACAAGTATCACCTTGGCAATTTTATGGACTATTGAGTAGCACAATGTCAGTTGGAACTAAAATGTCCCCACAGTTACTCCAGGTTTAAGTCAGTTCCATTTCGCTATGCTTCGCCGTTCTCTATCTCAACCGAAGTTTTGCTCTCCTTTTCTTCTTTTACCTTTTGTCTTTTACCTTTTGTGTGCTTTTTTCACTCTGGGACACTTTTTAATTATTTATTTCTGTCTTTCTTTCACTGCCTATCTTCCTCCCTGCGTGTAACAGGGTGGTATTGTGTGTGGTGGTAAAATAAGCTTTGGTGATAAGAAAATGCAGTACTACAACCTGAATAGAAACACTAACAAAACTATGGCCTTGCTTTCAAACAATGGAAACAAAGCTTACCTCAGACAGTGTCAGAGACCTGTCATTCTCTACCCTGACAATCAAAGGTGTCCTTGGCAAAGTAGTTACCGTAAATGTAATATTCCAGATTTGTCTCTTTTCTAATGTTAAGGTAGAAATAAGCACTGTCCTCTTTAATTTATTCAGTTTTTTAAAAACTGTGATGGAGTGGAAATTTGTGTAATTATTATTCCTTTGTCGTCAGTGCGTCCTTCGGTGCCTAAATGCTGGGTGGACGGTGGGGAGGCGGTGGGGGAGACTGTCTCCCTGCACTGCAAGTCATCCCAGGGGTCCTCTCCCCTCAACTACGCATGGAAGACAGAAAGAGGAGGTCCCATCCCACCCTCAGCCACACAGAGTAAGTCTGACCTTTACTGGTTTCATGGTGAATTACAGCATTAGAGCACATTTTAACAGAAACGTTATTTAAGCTGACTGGGCATGCAGTGAAAAATACATGTTTTCATTGCTGCTCTTCATACTTTGTGATCCATCAGACCGTGTGACGGGGGAGTTGTTGATCAGCAATCACTCTGAGAGCTTTGTGGGAATCTACATGTGTGAGGTGACCAATGCTGTGGGGGACGAGAGGTGCAGAATCAATCTGACAGCTAACAAACGTAGGTACACACTCAGTCACTCATTCAGTCAATCCCTCACTCAGTCATTCACTCACATTTAAAGCACAAAAAAAGCTACAAAATTCCTTCACCTGGTGCTTGTTCCATCTGTTCCATCCCTAGCCCCTAACAGAGCAGGCGTGATAGTGGGTACTGTGGTGGGTTGTCTACTGCTCATCATCATTCTGGCGATACTCATCTGCCTCCTCATCTACAAGTGTGATGCAAGGTTCACACACGATGAGAAGGAAGTGTCCAACGATATCAGGTACTAGAGAATGTACTGTATTCACACTAAGACTGTAGATCAGGGATGGGCAACTTTGATGGGGGTGGGGGCCACAAAAATTCTGAACTCATCATGAGAGGCCGCAGTGGCTCGCAGGTCTGCATACCCACATCCATACCCGCTCATGGAGTCAGAACCGGCCCCGCTGCAATTCTACAGATTTTGCCATCGGTGGAGAGAATATTTTGCAATTTTATAAATCATTTCATACAATTCTACTCATTAGTGTGAATATAGTACAGAGAGAAAAATGAGCAGTTTTACAGCACATTTCCTGTAATTCTACACATTTTGCTATAGGGTGGAGGGAAATGTTTGCAGTCTTTGATATTATATCTGTGACTAACAAAAACTTCAAGTTAGCTGGCTAGAGCAACTTACCAATCACAAAATGTTTTGCTGACATGGGATAACTGAGTGACTGTCAGTGACTGACATAAGAGAAAAACTGCTGATGCACAATCAAATTTCGAAATCGCACCTTGTGTATTCTACTGTTGTAAGTCTTAACAGTAAGTTAAGACCCCGACTGAGTTCCTAAAATTATATACAGTATATATTTTTTTTATGCAGGCCCAATGCCGCCCGCCAGTTGCCCATCCTTGCTGTAGATGGTTCTGTGGCCATACTGCTGTTTCCTCTTGCCCTCTCACCCCCCTGCACCTATTCTTCTTCCCCCAGGGAGGACGTCACAGCCCCAGAGAGCCGACCACACAGCCGAGGCACCAGCCGGGGCACAAGCCTCCACCCTGGGGTAGCCTACAGCCAGGTGGGCATGCAACAGACGGGGCACTCACACCGAGAACACACACACATCCCATCCACCAGCACTGGATACACACCTGTAAAATATGACAGCAGATACGGCTACGCTGTATGATTGGAGAGAAAGTGGAGGGGTCGAAAACTTTTAAATTATGACAATCGTGTTTTGCAGGCTGAAATGAGGTACATTCCCTATTGTGACTTTGAAAGGCATATCATCAGTGGGTTTAATCATATAAAAAAAACGATTTCCTGAAAGACCATGATAATTAATTTGAAATTAATACTGTTGATAGATGTTGCTTTGGCATTGGAGTAAGATAATAAGGGAATACAGCAAAGGAAGCAGAATACACAGTTCTTTATTCTCCAAATTAGTTTCTAAGTCCTATCAAAGCCACAGTGTAAGTTTTCCACTAATTTCCATTTTCATGTAATAAAATATACCATTTGATTTAGCAGAATATTATAATACCTTAATGGGATTGGTATGACTTTACCTTATCATAAATAAAAAAACCAAGTACCTATCACTCCAATTGCTCAATTTTCATATTGCACTACTTTTGTGTGTCACGATCGTTGATGAACGAGAAGGACCAAGGCGCAGAGTGATAAGCATACATGTTTATTTAAACGAATAAACACACGACAAAACAACAAACGAAACGTGAAGTCCAATGTAGCACAAACATACCATAACTGGAACAAGATCCCACAACCCACTAGTGCCAATAGGCTACCTAAGTATGGTCCCCAATCAGAGACAACGAGCTACAGCTGCCTCTGATTGGGAACCACACCGGCCAACATAGATCTACACATACTAGATCTAAACATAGACAATCAACATAGCACAACACAACACAGAAAATACACACCCTGACTCAACAAATACGAGTCCCTAGAGTCAGGGCGTGACAGTACCCCCCCCCCCCCCCCCCCCCCCCCCCCCCCCCCAAAGGTGCGGACTCCGACCGCGCCACATAAACATAACAGGGTAGGGGCCGGGTGGGCATTCCGCCTCGGAGGCGGATCCGGCTCCGGGTGTGACCACCACTTACTCTCCACCTCCCTGTTGCGCCCCTGGTCTGGTCTGGACCTCGGCGCGCTGCTTCCCCTCTCCTTCCTCCCACGAGGTACCAAGCCCTGTCTGGACCCTGGTGTGGAAGACCCCGAACCTGGAGAGGGGCTGACGTCTGGGTCTGAACTGGAACCGCTGACTGGAGCTGGACCCGACGACGGTGGATTGAACTGCTCTGGCTCCGGAGTGGAGCCGCTGACCGGAGCTGGATCAGGCACCGGTGGTGCGGACTTCTCTGGCTCCGGAGTGGAGCAGCTGACCGGAGCTGGACTGGACCCCGGTGGAGCGGATTGCTCTGGCTCCGGAGTGGAGCAGCTGACCAGTGCCGGACCATGCACCGGTGGAACAGGCACGGGCCGTGCCGGACTGGACACACGCAACACTGGCTCGGTGCGAGGGGCAGGAATGGGCCGTACCGGACTGGCGACGCGCACCACTGGCTTGGTGCGGGGAGCAGGAACAGGCCGGGCCGGGCTGGCGACGCGCACCACTGGCTTGGTGCGAGGTGCAGGAACAGGCCGGGCCGGGCTGGCGACGCGCACCACTGGCTTGGTGCGAGGGGCAGGAACAGGCCGGGCCGGGCTGGCGACGCGCACCACTGGCTTGGTGCGAGGGTGCTATGCCAGTGACCCAGATGTTCGATGCTAACAGCTGCTCCCCAGTTGTTGTGTCATCAGATTCAGATGGAGCCTATTAGACATCACATTTCCCTCTAATTTCAAATGTTTATTGGTGATTTCTATTGGTCGCGTACACAGGTGTTCATTTGTACACTCAGTGTGTGTATAGACAGTATGGACTGTATAGGAAAGGTGTGTACAGCAGTAGTTATATAGGATGAGCCTGGACTAGAATACGGCATTGATTTGCACTTTTCGCACCAAAGTACGTTCATCTCTAGGAGACAGAACGCACCTCTTTCCTGAGCGGTATGACGACTGCGTGGTCCCATGGTGTTTATACTTGCGTACTATTGTTTGTACAGATGAACGTGGTACCTTCAGGCGTTTGGAAATTGCTCCTAAGGATTAACCAGACTTGTGGAGGTCTACAATTGAGGTCTTGGCTGATTTCTTTTGATTTTCCCATGATGTCAAGGAAAGAGGCACTGAGTTTGAAGGTAGGCCTTGAAATACATCCACAGGTACTCCTCCAATTGACTCAAATTATGTCAATTAGCCTATCAGAAGCTTCTAAAGCCATGACATCATTTTCTGGAATTTTCCAAGCTGTTTAAAGGCCCAGTCAACTTAGTGTATGTAAACTTCTGACCCACTGGAATTGTGATATAGTGAATTATAAGTGAAATAATCTGTCTGTAAACAATTGTTGGAAATATTACTTGTGTCATGCACAAAGTAGATGTCCTAACAGACTTGCCAAAACTATAGTTTGTTAACAAGAAATTTGTGGAGTGGTTGAAAACCGAGTTTTAATGACTCCAACCTAAGTGTATGTAAACTTCCGACTTCAACTGTACATAGGGCAGCAGTCTCTAAGGTGCAGGGTAGAGTACCAGGTGGTAGTCGACTAGTAACAGTAACTAAGTTCAGGGCAGGGTATTGGGTGGAGGCCGGCTAGTGGTGACTATTTAAGTCTGATGGCATGGAGATAGAAGTTGTTTTTCAGTCCCAGCTTTGGCTGAACAGGGAGTGCAGGAGGGGGCTAAGCACGCACCCTTGTGGGGCCCCTGTGTTGAGGATCAGCGTGGCGGAGGTGTTGTTGCCTACCTTCACCACCTGGGGTCTGCCCGTCAGTATGTCCAGGATCCAGTTGCACAGGGCGGGGTTCAGACCCAGGGCCCTGAGTTTATTGATGAGCTTGGAGGGCACTATGGTGTTGAAGACTGAGCTATAGTCAATGAACAGCATTCTTACATAAGTATTCCTCTTGTCCAGATGGGATAGGCAGTGTGCAGTGAGATGGCAATTGCGTCATCACATGCGCGAATACAACAAGTGTAGACCTTACAGTGAAATGCGTCCTTACAAGCCCTTAAACAACAATGCAGTTTTATGAAAAATAAGTATTAAGGAAAAAATTGATAAAATAAAAAATAATTAAAGAGCAGCAGTAAAATAAAATAACTGTAGGGAGGCTATATACAGGGGGTACCGGTACAGAGTCAACGTGCGGGGACACAGGTTTGCGTCTGTTTGATTTGACTGACAGCTAGAACATGCACGTACTCTTTTCCAACGCCAGCCATTACAGTAGGCCTGCGTATAGGTTGACAATGTGAGTGCAGCTCTAGAACTACACTGTGAAGCATGCCTTCCTCTGACACCGCCTGGTATAGAGGTCCTGGATGGCAGAAAGCTTGGCCCCAGGGATGTACTGGGCCGTACGCACTACCCTCGGAGGCCGAGCAGTTGCCATACCAGGCAGTGATGCAACCAGTCAGGATGCTCTCGATGGTGCAGCTGTAGAAACTTTTGAGGATCTGAGGACCCATGCCAAATCTTTTCAGTCTACTTAGGGGGAATAGGTTTTGTCGTGCCCTTTTCACGACTGTCTTGGTGTGCTTGGACCATGTTAGTTTGTTGGTGATGTGGACACCAAGGAACTTGAAGCTCTCAACCTGCTCCACTACAGCCCCGTCAATGAGAATGGGGGCGTGCTCGGTCCTCTTCTTTTTCCTGTAGTCCACAATCATCTCCTTTGTCTTGATCACGTTGAGGGAGAGGTTGTTGTCCTGGCACCACACGGCCAGGTCTCTGACCTCCTCCCTATAGGCTGTCTCGTCGTTGTCAGTGATCAGGCCTACCACTGTTGTGTCATCAGCAAACTTAATGATGGTGTTGGAGTCGTGCCTGGCCATGCAGTCAGGAGTGAACAGGGAGTACAGGAGGGGACTGAGCACGCACCCATGAGGGGCCCCCGTGTTGAGGATCAGCGTGGCGGATGTGTTGTTACCTACCCTTACCACCTGGGGGCGGCCCGTCAGGAAGTCCAGGATGCAGTTGCAGAGGGAGGTGTTTAGTCCCTAGGTCCTTAGCTTAGTGATTAACTTTGAGGGCACTATGGTGTTGAACGCTGAGCTGTAGTCCAGGTGTGAATGGGCAGTTTGGAGCGCAATAGAGATTGCATCATCTGTGGATCTGTTGGGGCGATATGCAAATTAAAGTGGGTCTAGGGTTTCTGGGATAATGGTGTTGATGTGAGCCATGACCAGCCTTTCAAAGCACTTCACGGCTACAGACGTGAGTGCTACAGGTCGGTAGTCATTTAGGCAGGTTACCTTAGTGTTATTGGGCATAGGGACTATGGTGGTCCGCTTGAAACATGTTGGTATTACAGATTCCAGACAGGGAGAGGTTGAAAATGTCAGTGAAGACATACATCGGCTACGGAGAGCGTGATCACACGGTAATCCAGAACAGCTGATGCTCTCATGCATGTTTCAGTGTTACTTGCCTCGAACCGAGTATAGAAGTAATTCAACTAATCTGGTAGGCTCGTGTCACGGCGCAGCTTGCGGCTGTGCTTCCCTTTGTAGTCTAATAGTTTGCAAGCCCTGCCACATCCGATGAGCGTCGGAGCCGGTGTAGTACAATTCGATCTTAGTCCTGTATTGACGCTTTGCCTGTTTGATGGTTCGTCGGAGGGCATAGCGGGATTTCTTATAAGCTTCTGGGTTAGAGTCCCTCTCCTTGAAAGCGGCAGCTCTACCCTTTAGCTCAGTGCGGATGTTGCCTGTAATCCATGGCTTCTGGTTGGGGTATGTACGACGTCATCGATGCACTTATTGATGAAGCCAGTGACTGATGTGGTGTACTCCTCAATGCCATCGGAAGAATCCCGGAACATATTCCAGTATGTGCTAGAAAAACAGTCCTGTAGCTTAGCATCTGCTTCATCTGACCACTTTTTTATTGACCAAGTCGCTGGTGCTTCCTGCTTTTAGTTTTTGCTTGTAAGCAGGAATCAGGAGGATATAATTATGGTCAGATTTTCCAAATGGAGGGTGAGGGAGAGCTTTGTACGCGTCTCTGTGTGGAGTAAAGGTGGTCTAGAGTTTTCTTCCCCTCTGGTTGCACATTTAACATGCTGGTAGAAATGAGGTAAAATAGATTTAAGTTTCCCTGCATTAAAGTCCCCGGCCACTAGGTGTGCCGCCTCTGGATGAGCGTTTTCCTGTTTGCTTATGGCCGTATACAGTTAATTGAGTGCGGTCTTAGTGCCAGCATTGGTTTGTGGTGTTAAATAGACAGCTATGAAGAATATAGACCACATTATCTTGGTAGATAGTGTGGTCTACAACTCATCATGAGATAATCAGGCGAGCAAAACCTCGAGACTTCCTTAGATATCGTGCACCAGCTGTTGTTTACAAATATACATAGACCGCCACCCCTTGTCTTACCAGAAGCTGCTGTTCTATCCTGCCGATACAGTGTATAACCCGCCAGCTGTATGTTATTCATGTCATCGTTCAGCCACGACTTGGTGAAACATAAGATATTACAGTTTTGAATGTCCCGTTGGTAGGATATTCGTGCCTGTAGTTTGTCCATTTTATTATCAAGCAATTGTAAGTTGGCCAATAGTATCGATTGCAAAGGCAGATTAGCCACTCGTTGCCGGCTCCTTAACAAGCACCCCAATCTCCTTCCGCAATATCTCATTTTCTTTCTACTGCGAATGACAGGGATGAGAGCCCTGTCGGGTGTCTGGAGCAAATCCCTCTCGTCCTACTCATAAAATAAAAATGATTTGTCCAGTTCAAGGTGAGTAATCGCTGTTCTGATGTCCAGAAGCTCTTTTCGGTCATAAGAGATGGTAGCAGCAACATTATGTACAAAATAAGTTACAAACAATGCGGAAAAAACACACAAAATAGCACGGTTGGTTAAGAGTCCATAAAACGGCAGCCATCCCCTCCGGCGCCATTATACACTTTCTTCCTGTTCATGCAATGGATGGAGAACCCCGCTGGCTGAATGGATGGGGACAGTATATCCGGAGACAGCCATGATTCCATAAAACAGAGTATGTTACGGTCCCTGATGTCTCTCGAAGGAGATCCTCGCCCTGAGCTCGTCTACTTTATTGTCCAGGGACTGAAGGTTAGAGAGTAATATCCTCGGAAGTGGTGGATGGTATGCAAGCCTCCTGAGTCTGACTAGGAGACCAGACCTTATTCATCTTCTCCGGCGACAGCGTCTTGGAGCAGCCGCCAGGATGAATAGAATTGCCTTGGGGAGTTCAAACAAAAGGATCCAATTCAGGAAAGTCACATTTCTGGTCGAAATGCTGGTGAGTGACCGCCAATCAAATATCCCAAAGTTATCTTCAGCTGTTGGTAATAATACAAGTAGCGTTCTGAGCAAATCATGTAAGAAATAACAACAACAACCACAACATCAAGAAAAATACTGCAAAGTTGGCTAGGAGCTAGAAACAGGGTGACCATGTCAGTCGCCGCCATCTTGTTCACCTTACATTCGAAAATATTAGGTATTTTACATAGCTTTGTTAGAAGAAAGAACAATAAAAGATTAAGTAACTCATAAAACAATTCCATAAATAGAAACAGTAACATCAAATGTAGGCAAAAAGAGAAATATTTATTTCATGATAGACCTCATTTTGGAAATACTCATCCATTCAAAGAAAATGTACACAATTAAGTTATTTTTTGAGGATGTACTGACAGGAGTTGAAATATCTATAACCACATGCAATGAGTTTTCTCCACTACACAAACAGCGACTAAGTAGCCCCCAGTTAGCCAACATGTACTCCCCCCAAAGTCAACCCTTCCTATCCTAGGTGTCAGGAGTTATGTTTGGGAGTAGTGGGAATACACACAACATAGTCACATACGGTCAGAAACCTACAGTACTCTTTCCTCTTCCACCACATCAGTCTTAGTTTGTCAGCCAATGTCACTGTTTGAATCATCTGGTCAGTAGATTATTGTGGGTACTTGGGGTTGACAACTGATCTGAGATGTGATAGGAAACCAGAGAATATGGCAGCCATCTTTTTCTCCAACGTCTGATTAAATGGATGTGGTCAGTTAATGATCCAGAAAGTGTATGACTGATTTCAATTAGTTTATATTGTGACATCATATAATTTTCAGGTAGGTCATCATAATGATGTTGACTTTTTGATTCTGAGTAATTCATGGAGCTGCCATATTACTTCACCAGACACCACAGCACCAAAAATAAAATTCTGAGAATTTTCAACATTTTCAACATCCTAAAATCCCAGGACCATGTGTCCATCTGTAAATAAGGCAAGGTACAAACAAACTGATAATAAAAATCTCTAGGTTAAAGTTCATGCGGACATTAATAAAAATACGTTGCATTTGGCTTTAAAATAATTATGGTTGGTCCAGTTTTTAGCAAGTAAAGTTTGGTCTTTTGCAAAATAAAACAAAATTAAACCAACAAAAACATTGAATACCAAGATAGATTTTCAGTGCATTAGGTGGGTGTTGGACTGACTTAAAATGTCCCTTTTTGCACCCTGTTGATTGTGAGGAGTACCAATAGACTTAAAGTGCTGAGACTGATGTGAACCTTCTATCTGTACACCCATTCTACCTGCCATTACACCCCACGGTGGGTCACTGTTTATTTGGCTGCGACAGAACAGTTCCTCAACTCCATTGCAATGCTTCTGAGGGCCACTATCTGTCTGTCTTCAGTTGAAAAGGGGGTTGAATTAATGAACAGAGGGTTAAGGACTGGAGCTGTGTCCCAAACGTCCCTTCCCTCTTCTTCTCCATCCATAGTCCACTCTGCAGTAGAGGTTGGATGGGTAGTGCTCTACTGTAAGCTGCCGATGGACCATGACTGACGAATCCTGTGAGCATTGACCACACTTCAAAGGCACCATAATGTTATAGTGGTCAGGGCAAGTGAGTGTGTCTGTGTGTGCAAGACAAACTAATCCTGTCGTTTCTCCTTCCAACTCTCCTGTAAGCCCTCAAGGCATCACCATGACAACTAAGGCAAAATCTTCCAGAAAAGAAACACAAATCTGTATTTTTCTTCATCTCCTTTTCTCTGCTGTGTTGCTAACATCAATATCACACAATAATCGTTAGGATCTCTGTTAAATAAATTATCTATATATTATATTACCCCCTCCCATAGACCTGCAACAAAGGAGGAGTCTATCCATGTAATAAAACTATAGGTTCCCTAGTCTCTGTACGTAGAGTATGTTGGGCCTCTCTCTGCAATGTTCCTCAGTTCATGTCAGCCCCCTCAGAACAACCAGAGGCAGACAGACTGGAATCCAGTTTTTCCTCACAGAGATCAAACAGGACAAGATCTTACAAAAAAACAACATAAGCAAAGCTAATGCATACGCGTAGGAAGAAAACCGGAATAGAAACATTGTTCACTGCAAAATCAGTATCCAGCAAAAAGTATTCCACATGGTGTTTCCCTGGAAACCAACTAGTCCTTTCTGAGGACTGTGGAGCGAGGTGTGATGTGATTGGATAGGAGCCATGGTGACATCAGAGCCTCACTGAACTCCTTCTTCGTCAACATATGTTGAAGGAAACCAGCCAATCTAAAATGTCAGACACACACAGCAATGAGATCAGAAACCTGTCAAAAATCACAAAATTGGGAAGAAAAAAAGGGGTAAAAAGTACAAAAATAATCTAATACTGTAGCCTACAGAAAGGCTTCTAGATTTCATTGAGGCAAATGATAAATTAGGTATTAACATTGCAGACTTCACTTTTTGGTTACACTTTACATTACATTGCTCTCTTACCTGTGTAACTACACAGCAATTACTATTGCAACAACATTGTAATAACATGAATACCATATCTTAAGCCCCTGCTATATTGGTTCTCACTCACCCTGCCGTTGGCCTCTCCCTTCCACCAGCCCTGGTCTCCTCCGATCTTGCTGTAGATCTTAACAATATCCCCTTCTCTGAGTGACAGCTCCCTCATGTCCCGTGCTGCAAAGTTGTACCTGGCCACTGCTGTACTGACCACCCTCGGTGTGAACACTGGAACAATGACATCAGAGTCAGTGGGATAACAGTGCAGAGAGAGCAGACACATTGGTGTCCCACAGGTAACCTACAGATCCTGGGTGAGTGCAGAACATTTACAGACAGTAGTGGAGATTACGGTTGGAGGAGAGGATTGTGCATGAGGATTTGTAATTATTTTTTATTTGATTTCTTGTGTGTTTTTGTTCTACCTTGTGTTATGTTTTGTGCTACATTGACATTGATTACTGCATTGTTGGGTTTGGAGCTTTCAAGAAAGGCATTTCACTGTACTTGTGCACGTGACATTAAAAACTTGAAACTTAAGATGGGTTCTTTACCCCTTGACTCAGTTATGTAAGTTTTATATTCTAAAGAAATCAGTTAATTCAATGCTCTACTCAATAATGGCACATCGATGACACCAAAAAATAAATAAAGTCACACTCCTGTACGCCTTCAAGGCATCACTATGACGACTAAGGCTAATTCTTCCAGCAGAGAGACACAAACCTGTATTTTTCTTCATCTCCTTTTCTCTGCTGTGTTGCTAATATCAATATCACACAATAATAATACATAATATGGCATTTAGCAGACGCTTTTATCCAAAGCGACTTACAGTCATGTGTGCATACATTTTTACGTATGGGTGGTCCCGGGGATCGAACCCACTACCCTGGCGTTACAAGCGCCATGCTCTACCAATTGAGCTACAGAGGACCACGCTGTAGCTCAATTATCTATACATAATATTACCCCCTCCCATAGACCTGCAACAAAGGAGGAGTCTATCCATGTAATAAAACTATAGGTTCCCCAGTTGCGCCTCTCTCTGCAAAGTTCTCTGCAGTTAATTCAATGCCCTTTCAATGATGGCACATCAATGAACAAAAAAAACAAAGAAAGAAAGTCGCACACTCTATATATGCTCCTATCAATGTAATGGGTGAAAAGCTCATGCTTTTACAGTGATGACACATGACAACAGAGATGAGAACCTTTGACAGCTACGAAAGAATAAGAAATGAAAAGGGGTGTGAGAGGAGAGGAGAGGTGGCTGGCTTGATAGAGGACAGAGGGAAGAAGAAGAAGAGCTGAAGAAAAGGAGGAGAGAGTACCTGACCAGAACGGGGCTGAGCTCTGAGAGGAGGAGAAGTTGAGACCCTGAGGACTGAGGAAGGAGAAGTTGTAGGAAGCACCAATGGCTGCTGAGACAGTCAGTGAAAGAGAGAAAAGGGAAAGAGGAGAAAAGAAAGAAAAGAAAAGAAAAGCTCATTAGGGAGCCTGCAATGGCTGGCCAGAGACCAAGGTGGCCAACAATAAAATAGGGCTTTGTCCCCCATTGAAAAACGAGCCTAAATCAAGAGAAAAAAAACACTACTCCCATTCTATACCCATGCCTCACACACTGAAACACTAACCCTGACAAATGTCCAAACCGCCAGAGACGCTGAATCCTCTTGTTCTCTCCCCTAGAGCCCGCCCCTTCCAACCCCTCCAACCCACACACACAGATCAACAAGCCCATTGTCTCCATCCATTTCCACACGCTGAACAGAAAAATGGAGGGGGGGGGGGAATGTGTTGTTGGTGCCAGTTGGGCTTGGCTGGAGAGGGAGCAAACAAAGGCAGATCAGTGTGGGAGTCTGGCCAGAGCAGAGAGCAGGGCCGAATCATTTATTATACATCTAATGATGGAGGGTGTTTAACAAAGCCCATTCAGCTGGCCAGCCACCCAGCTAGCCAGTCAGCCAGCCCAGGGCCTGAGACAGCTGCCAGCCCAGCCTTCCTCCCTCTCTCTCTGGCTGGCTGCATGGGTCAGGTGAGGTGGTGACTCTGGGAGGGACTGGGCCTTGCAGGGTGACTGGCCTGGCTGGGTGTCTCCTGTTCTGGGAGGAGAGGAGAGAGGCTGGAGGAGAAACAAACCAGCAGCCTGCCCCTCTCAGTTAACTCTGTGCCCATAGCCGTGCTGTGAAGACTCTGGATGAAGGCATGGATTGACTGAATAGGGATGTCTGCTATGTGTGCATCTGTGGTGTTGGCAGACAGAAGAGGAAGAGAGAGGAGGGAGTCTCACCAGGTATGGGCTCACCTGGAGAGCGGGTGCTGGCCCGTGATGCCGGCCCTCGTTCTCTAGATTTGTAGGGATAGCGTAATGTCGTGTCTAGCAGCTTGAAACTCTCCTTCAGTGAATGGGACTGATAGTACTCCACCAACTCCTGTCAGACAGAACACAAGAGAAAGAAACAACAGGGTCATTCATTGGCCATATAAGCATTACAAATAGTATGTGACATTATGTGACAGATTGATGAAAGTTCTCTTACCAGTAGACTCTCAAACTTCTTAGCCTCAGTGATGTGGATCCAGCTGTCTTTCTCAATGACTTTAATGTGCTTTACTTCATCATTGAACCTATTCGAGACAAAAGTACTGCAGTGACTACAGAAGAATCACAGGGGTGGGAGCTGACAGAGTGGGCATTAGAGGTTGACATGGTAACAGGACTACCGTGGGTCTTGCAGCTCCCGGTAGGAATGGGAGTGAAGTTCTGGGTTAGAAATATGTAATGTGTGGAGCTTTTTATTATTACTGTGTGTAAGCCTAATATAGTTTATTTAATAAAAATCTATACAAAATAAATGGTAATTTCCACCCTCCCCTTCTCCTCGCTCCAGTTGTAGCAAGTCACTCAGATGCACATGTCCACTGGGCATGGTCTAACTCACTCCAATGGCATCACAAACTGTATGATAGCTTCCTGGTAATGCATTACATTTACATTTTAGTCATTTAGCAGACCCTCTTATCCATATACATTATTTTATTTTTTTCCCCCATACTGGCCCCCCGTGGGAATCGAACCCACAACCCTGGCGTTGCAAACGCCATGCTCTACCAATTGAGCTACACGGGACCTAATACACACAACAAAGATTCATTTAAATTTGAAGTAATTTGAATATGAATGTGGCTACCACTATAAAGTATGTGAAGGAATGGGGGTTTGTTAGTGTTACTGAGAAAGATACGTCTCCTGTGATTTTACTTTGCTAGGGTAAATTAGAGTAAACACTAACTTGATGCTGATGGCGAACCTCTCTGCCTCAGCAGTCCTCTCTCTGATCAGGTATGTTCCACTGCTGTGGGACTTCAACAGGTTGTCAGCCTGTGTCCGCTCCATGTTGCCAGCAAACCTGACGTGACGTTGAGGGGGAACACAGGTCACTGATGGACTTTAGAATATACATAGTAATACACTGTCCTAACATAGTAATACACTGTCCTAACATAGTAATACACTGTCCTAACATAGTAATACTGTGTCCTAACATAGTAATACGCTGTCCTAACATAGTAATACACTGTCCTAACATAGTAATATACTGTCCTAACATAGTAATACACTGTCCTGAAATAGTAATACCACAGTAATACAATTTATTTACTGCAGAGAAATGAGGAGAGGGGTACTTGCAAACTAGACTGAATATCACAACTTTTGAAATGTCTGATAGTATCCAAGGTGAAGGGTCGTACCATGGGTATCCATAGTAGTCTGTTTCCCTTGAGGACTGCCGGCTGGGGAAGGACTGGAACAACGGCTGTGGTGACAACCACAAAAACAGCATTAGAGATTTCATAAATAGAGTAGAATCATGAGTGAGTGAATGTGTATGTGAGGGGTCCTTTACCTTGGGGTCCAAACAAGGCTTTACACAGTTGTTAGGAAAGAAGCCACTCTTCTGGGTTTGGATAAGCTTTCCCTGGGAGAGAGAGACACTAGGTGTCGATATACAACAACTCTGTTGCTATGGCTGGATACAGGAGAACATTGTGCATGCTCATTAGAATGTGTGTGTTAGTGGATAACCTATGGTCAGGGAGTGATTTTACCTCCCACCAGGTGGTGTCAGGTTCCCCCTTCAGGAGCTCGATGAAGTCGCCTGTCTGGAAGGAGAGTGGAGGCTTCCCTGGAGGAACAGGCGTCCCATGATAGTTCCTCACTGCCACCATCTTAGGGCCTGAAGCCAGGATAAAATGCATACAGACAGATAAACTGAACACTCTTCACTTGGGCTATTAAGACTACACAGAATTCTCCATATAACATTTCCACAAGATGGCAGCAGAGAGCTGTAGCGCTACTCCACATTCCAGCCAACTTCAAGTTAGTTTGACAGCTTGAGAGCAATCTTTATCAAAGTCTACTGTACATTGTATGGATTGACTGACTAACATTAATTACACTGTGCTATGTGATTTCCTGTATGAACAGAATTCCTACCTGATGGCAGTAGTCCAGGTTCCTGAAAAAGGAAGGACAAACACAACAACAGCGTCAAGATAAGGGAGCTCTAAGAGCTTATAGTATTATTGTTCTACACGACCAAACAGATTTATCAATCAGTTATCAATACAACAACAATATGATCATTCATTCATGAAACAATAGATTTCATTCTTCAAAAGGTGATACATCTGAATGTTTAAGAAACGGGAGGGTGAAACACTCACTGTGTCAAGTGGATCTGAAAAAATGAGAGCGAGAGAGAGCAGGTGGTCAACTAAATGGTACAACTCACTAGTTATGCATGTTCCATAGAACCGTCTGTATCTAGGGAGACTTGTCAGTAACACTTCACATTAAGTTCCTCTTATATCTCTGATACCACTGTAATGAATAAGAGTTAAGCAAAGGGAGGAGAAACCTACTGATTTTACAGGTGGTGATGCACTCCAGGCACTCTTTGTGAGCTCCAGTCCCACAGCGGGAACAGTAGTATCCCTGGTAGAAGATCCCCCTGGGAGAGAGAGAGAGAGTGAGATACACAGATTAGGGGGGGTGGGGGGTGGCGGGGGTCACAGGTGAGGAGGAGACTGACACTGAAAAGCCAATAACACACAGGATCATTCCTAACCCTGACCAGTTAGGACGTCTTTATCTAAACACTACTCTAAATAGAATAAAAAAACATGCACCATATGTGATTCTATGCTATTACTTTCCTAGTATACACTGTTCTTCCAAAAGCTACAGGTTTGATTCCTGTGTGGCCACACACTGTGCATTTGTGTTAACCGATTGTCGCTTTGAATAAAAGCCTCGGCTAAATAGACATGAATTCAATGTTCTGAGACTACATCCACCGTAAGCGGCCCACTCTTTTTTAGGTCACACAATAAAGTGGATTACTTCCTACACTATTTAAAAATACAGTGTATACACTGCCATGTCCAATAGCCAACACCATACATCACAGGCTAATACACTTGGGCTACTGATGCAATTATACAGCTAGCAGCTAGTGGTAGCAGCACACTGGTCCCTTCCACAACACTGGGAGGGAATTTAGGTCAGCGCCACTACTATGTTGTTTTTGTGCCAATACATTGCATCGAGTATAGAGTGTAGACAGCCACTATAACAGAGGTTAGGAGTGGTAGTGGCACGCTTCACAGTGTAGTTCTAGAGCTGCACTCACATTGTCAACCTATACGCAGTCCTACTGTAATGGCTGGCGTTGGAAAAGTGTACGTGCATGTTCTAGCTGTCAGTCAAATCAAACAGACGCAAACCTGTGTCCCCTCACATTGACTCTGTACCGGTACCCCCTGTATATAGCCTCCCTACTGTTATTTTATTTTACTGCTGCTCTTTCATTATTTTTATTTATTGGTATCTATTTTCTACTTAACACTTATTTTTCTTAAAACTGCATTGTTGGTTAAGGGCTTGTAAGTAAGCATTTCACTGTAAGGTCTACACCTGTTGTATTCGGCGCATGTGGCAAATACAATTTGATTTGATTTGATTGGTCATTCAGGAAGTTTAGAGGGGCTGGCAGCCTCAAAAGACTGCTTATCACATTAAGTGCGTAGCATCAGTTTGTACCACTGATATCCCATTGAAAAACAGTGATGTCTTCCGTCAACAAAGCACATGATAATGCCACGCGAACGATCTGATGTAGGTGTACAGGTACATAGGAGGAGCCCTGCGGTTTTTTCCAAGTCTCACCTCAGCAGCATCTTGCAGGCTCGGCAGTTGGTGTCCTTCTCAAACGTGTGCATCTGGAAGTTGTGCTGATTGGCCGTGGCTTTCTCCGGCTTGATGTTTGACCTTTAGGATTGGAGGAAACATACATGGCTAGTTTGAAATGGATCTGATTCGTTTAAAAGATCTACTGTGCTGTATACTGCTACAGTAGGCCTACTACTGTACTCACATGGCCATCTCAAACTGCTCCATCCATTTCCTCTTGGTGTCCTCTGTTTTACAGAAGAACTGGAAACCCTGCTTCCCTTGCAGGTGGATCAGGTAGAAGCCATAGGACCACTGCAGAGAAAGAGGGAATGAGGAAGGGATGGTGGAAAGAAAGAAACAGAGGCATAGATGGAGAGAGTGGTGAGGGCAGTGGTGGAAAAAGTACCCAGTGGTCATACTTGAGTAAAAGTTAAGATACCTTAATAGAAAATGATGCAAGTAAAAGTAAAAGTCACCCAGTAAAATACTACTTGAGTAAAAGTCTAAAAGTATTCCAAATTCCTTATATTAAGCAAATCAGATGGCACCATTTTTTAGTTTTTTTAAATTTATGGATAGCCAAGGGGCACAATCCAACACTCAGATATAATTTACAAACAAAGTATTTGTGTTTAGTCCGCCAGAGGCTGTAGGGATGACGTGGAATTTTCTCTTGATAAGTGTGTTAATTAAACCATTTTCCTGTCCTGCTAAGCATTCAAAATGTAACGAGTACATTTGGATGTCAGGGAAAATGTATGGAGTATAAAGTACATTATTTCCTTTAGCAATGTAGTGAAGTAAAAGTAAAAGTTGTCAAAAATATAAATAGTAAAGCACAAAAACGACTTAGGTAGTACTTTAAAGTATTTTTACTTAAGTACTTTACACCACTGGGTGGGGGACAGACAATTGGGAGGGTTGTAACAACTACACCTAGACAATGATGTATACTAATAAAATGTACTTTTTATAACCTACACATTCCCTTTGGAGCTAACCAAGAGATACTGTTCATGCTTGGCAATGCATCTGACAAAAGCATAAGAGAATCACATTGCCAGTGGGTACACATGCAATCATGGCATGACCCAACACCACACACACACAGTGGCTGCAATGAGAAGATGAGTTAAGGGTTGCTTCAGCTTACCATTTTTCCACTCGACTGGTACGCATGCAAAGAGAAACACACCAGAGAAGACCCAGTTACACATGCACACGACCACACATGCAGATTCAAAATATTCAAAAGAATGGTTAGATTGGTGGAAAATGTGCACAGCAGTATTGTAAATGACATACATTGCATTTACATGTTCTTCAGAGCATAGGCTTGCACAATGCATACAGATCTGACACTTTAATGCATTACACATGAGCTCACTTATCTGAAATTACCATCACCACAACTCTACCTCAAGGACACCATTTGTAAACTTTGGGATATTGCAAAACCTAGGCTGATTGTGTCCCTTCAGCAGGGTGTTGAGGGAAATTGTGCGTCCCCTGTTTTAAAGTGCTCAATACTGCTGCCTACCTTCTTCATGTCCCTGTTGTTCATGGGGTCGTCAGACATTTTGTATGACTGCAGCTCAATGATCTCCTTCAATTCATAGCAGTAGCCTTTCCGCTTGCACACTATGACTACTTTATCAAACAGGAATATGTACCTTGGGAAAATAACCGTAAAACACCAGTTAGAGTTCTGAACACATGTATTCTCCATTACTAAATCTGGTTCTCTCTTAATTCAAGTACCATACATTCAGTAAGTACCATGCATTCAGTAAGTACCATACATTCAGGCATCTCACATAGTGAAGCTTGACTACTCACCGGTCCTGCTTTGTTCGGTTGACTATGGAGGAAACCTTGAGCTCTCCATCTATCTTTGGTCTGCCATACTCCTCCAGTTTGACCTGCTGCTTAGGTCACATACACATGCCAGTGTTAATCTAATGCTGTACATCTCTGGTTTCCCCAGTGATCAATAAGAGTGGTAGTATAAACAGTAAGTATGGATGAGAGCAACACACTGCTGTCTACTTTACTTAGTGTTATTAATTATTATAATAATATGCCATTTAGCAGACACTTTTATCCAAAGCGATTTACAGTCATGTGTGCATACATTTTTACATATGGGTGGTCCCGGGGATCGAACCCACTACCCTGGCGGTACAAGCGCCATGCTCTACCAATTGAGCTACAGAGGACCACATTATTCATCTAACCTGGTTAAATCTCATTGAATTAAATTTGGCATCGCCCAAGGCACTGAACTGACTTATGATATATTAAACATCAAGATGTCCAAATGGGAAATGTGAGTCATTTTAATCTGCTATCATAACATTATGACATTCATGAGTCTTTCACCTCTGACCGTATGACCCCCTTCAGCATGTGTCATTAGATCCGACAGTTATATCTTACCCGGGATACAATGGGCATACACACGTACAGACAAAACAGGCAGCATATCTAAAATAGCAGCCTGTGGTTGTCTGTCTCTAATGCTTCATCTAAAACACATATTAAGGCCATTAAAAGCCAGCTGCTGTTAGACTAAACGCTGCCTTGTGCGACAAACTTTAGTTTGGTATTCGTGGAGACTTAAAAAGCCTGTCTGCTCACGCTCTGGAAGAATAAATGATTTATTAGAGACATGATACTTGCAGATGAGTGGGACAGGTAGAAGCGAGGGATGAGGTAAGCAGAGAGAGGAGAGAGAGAGAGAGAGAGAGAGAGAGAGAGAGAGAGAGAGAGAGAGAGAGAGAGAGAGAGAGAGAGAGAGAGAGAGAGAGAGAGAGAGAGAGAGAGAGAGAAATGTTCCAGGCTGTCCACCGAGAGAGAAGTTGAGGAACGTGTTGGGGCCAGAGGGATGGGTAATTGATGCTCAATAAATCTCAAAAGGGTCAAAATTCCTTATTGTTCCTTATCAGTGCTGATTGTAGAAAAGTACTGTCATTTACAGCAATCAGAGTTACTTACAAGGTTTTCGATGGAGTTTTGGAATTCACTAATCTTCTTCAAGGTTTCATTGTCTCTCTTCACTTCGTTGATGTACATAGCCAGGTCCTTCAGAGACAGAGATGCATTGTTTTTACACCAGTACATCTGAACGACATCTATTATATCTTGACCGAGTTAAAGCTACAATATAACTTTTCGCTATGCTCCCAAGCATTCTTCTGAATTAATTGAAAAATGTAATTGATGATCATATCAGTAATGTGCCGTCGCAACCTTCGCTCTCTCTCTCCTGCTACTCTCTCCTCTTCAATCCTATCATCTCTTCCCTCTGCTAAATCCTCAACCCTCCTCTCCTCCCTTTCTGCATCTTTTGACTCTCTATGTCCCCTATCCTCCCGGCCGGCTCGGTCCTCCCCTCCTACTCCGTGGCTTGACGACTCATTGCGAGCTCACAGAAGAGGGCTCCGGGCAGCCGAGCGGAAATGGAGGAAAACTAGACTCCCTGCGGACCTGTCATCTTTTCACTCCCTCCTCTCTACATTCTCTTCCTCTGTTTCTGCTGCTAAAGCCACTACAATATAACTTTTTGCTATGCTCCCAAGCATTCTTCTGAATTAATTGAAAAATTTAATTGATGATCATATCCGGAATAACCTCAAACGCGCACACACACGCACACACATACACGCACACACACACACACACACACACACACACCTGCATGGCCTCCAACGCCTCCTTGAGCTGCTGTCTCTCAGGTCGGTCAGTTGAATGACTCACCAGCTCCTGTAAGAGAATGTTACATTCCATTAGTGGAGCACACTATACACCACACACTCCACAAAACATTGACATAACTCAGTATGACAGCCACACACCGAGGAGAGCAACAGATCAACTCCCTGTAAGTTACACTCATGTAACTTGTATGAACTCTCACTAAACATCATCACCTCAAAATGAGTTTTTCTGCATAAACACAGTTAATCCTTTATAAGAAAATCTGTGCATTTAAAAAAAAAGATGGATGCTGCTGCAAACAATGAGTTAGGCCAGTACACATCTATTCTCTCTGCCTCTCAGAGGTACTACACTAGTGGAACATATGTGCATCTAGACCATGTGACATGTAAATGTAATGTGATCTTACAACTGACACATTCAGGTGGACTTTATGCTTCTGCAGTTCTGAGGAGCGTGGGGAGATGAGAGTGATGGTGTAGGATGAGTGTGTTGGTGAGTTGAGGCCTGCTGGCTGCTTCATTGAAGACAGAATGATTTGCTACAGTATACAGTATATTATAAGCTGTGTACTGTGTAATTCTGACAAAGACCAGATATGTCTTCATCACAGTGGAATCTGCAACACCCAGATCATGAAGTAAAGATGCTAAGGCTTACACACACACACATGCGCACAAACATACAGGCACACACACAGCCTATCAGTTGAACGCCCTGGGGCCACGGCATAATAATCCTTACAACAAATCTATGGGAAGCAGTGAAATGGGCTGCATGTAATACGATTACAGCATGGCTGATTTGAACACAGTTTCTCTTCTCTTGATGTCCTGCAGGCCAATAGAGTATATTCCTAGAAAACATTGAACCGCTGTAGTTTACAACAATTATAATTTCTAAAGTGGAAGTTGGGAGAGTTATATTTGAGTGTTTCAGTGAAACGTAAGTGAGGGAGGCCCCGTTCTCTCGCTTTCCCAGATGTTTAGTTAATTTCATTCCGATCTCCTTTGCATTATTGTAGCCTTTTCTGTAGCCTGTCAACTATGTGTCTGTCTATCCCTGTTCTCTCCTCTCTGCACAGGCCATACAAACGCTTCACACCGCATGGCTGCTGCCACTCTAATCTGGTGGTCCCTGCGCGCACGATCCACGTGGAGTTCCAGGTCTCCGGCAGCCTCTGGAACTGCCGTTCTACGGCCAACAAGGCAGAGTTCATCTCAGCCTATGCTACCCTCCAGTCCCTCGACTTCTTGGCGCTGACGGAAACATGGATTACCACAGAAAACACTGCTACTTCTACTGCTCTTTCCTCGTCTGATCATGTGTTCTCGCATACCCCGAGAGCATCTGGTCAGCACGGCGGTGGCACAGGAATCCTCATCTCTCCCAAGTGGACATTCTCTCTTTTCCCCCACCCATCTCCTCATTTGAATTCCATGCTGTCACAGTCACTAGCCCATTCAAGCTTAACATCCTTATCATTTATCGCCCTCCAGGTTCCCTTGGAGAGTTCATCAATGAGCTTGACGCCTTGATAAGTTCATTTCCTGAGGATGGCTCACCCCTCACAGTTCTGGGTGACTTTAACCTCCCTACGTCTGCCTTTGACTATTTTTTCTCTGCCTCCTTCTTTCCACTCCTTTCCTCTTTTGACCTCACCCTCTCACAGTCCCCCCCTACTCACAAGGCAGGCAATACGCTTGACCTCATCTTTACTAGATTCTGTTCTTCTACTAATCTCACTGCAACTCCCCTCCAAGTCTCTGACCACTACTTTGTATTCTTTTCTCTCTCGCACTCCTCCAACACTACTCACTCTGCCCCTACTCAGACGGTAATGTGCCGTCGCAACCTTCGCTCTCTCTCTCCCGCTACTCTCTCCTCTTCAATCCTATCATCTCTTCCCTCTGCTAAATCCTCAACCCTCCTCTCCTCCCTTTCTGCATCTTTTGACTCTCTATGTCCCCTATCCTCCCGGCCGGCTCGGTCCTCCCCTCCTACTCCGTGGCTTGACGACTCATTGCGAGCTCACAGAAATGGAGGAAAACTAGACTCCCTGCGGACCTGTCATTTTTTCACTCCCTCCTCTCTACATTCTCTTCCTCTGTTTCTGCTGCTAAAGCCACTTTCTACCACTCTAAATTTCAAGCCTCTGCCTCTAACCCTAGGAAGCTCTTTGCCACCTTCTCCTCCCTACTGAATCCTCCTCCTCCTCCCTCCTCCCTCTCTGTGGATGACTTCGTCAACCATTTTGAAAAGAAGGTTGACGACATCCGATCCTCATTTATTAAGTCAAATGACACCGCTGGTCCTGCTCACACTGCCCTGACTTCTTTCTCCCCTCTCTCTCCAGATGAAATCTTGGGACTTGTGATGGAATCTGTCTCCGCACCATGTGCTATCACCACTGGTGTCCCCCAGGGCTCAGTTCTAGGCCCTCTCCTATTCTCTCTATACACCAAGTCACTTGGCTCTGTCATATCCTCACATGGTCTCTCCTATCATTGCTACGCAGACGACACACAATTAATTTTCTCCTTTCCCCCTTCTGATAACCAGGTGGCGAATCGCATCTCTGCATGTCTGGCAGACATATCAGTGTGGATGTCGGATCACCACCTCAAGCTGAACCTCGGCAAAACGGAGCTGCTCTTCCTCCCGGGGAAGGACTGCCCGCTCCATGATCTCGCCATCACGGTTGACAACTCCATTGTGTCCTCCTCCCAGAGTGCAAAGAACCTTGGCGTGACCCTGGACAACACCCTGTCGTTCTCCGCTAACATCAAAGCGGTGACCCGATCCTGCAGGTTCATGCTCTACAACATTCGCTGAGTACGACCCTATCTTTCACAGAAAGTGGCACAGGTCCTAATACAGGCACTTGTCATCTCCCGTCTGGATTACTGCAACTCACTGTTGGGCTCCCTGCCTGTGCCATTAAACCCCTACAACTTATCCAGAACGCTGCAGCCCGTCTGGTGTTCAACCTTCCCATGTTCTCTCATGTCACCCCGCTCCTCCGCACACTCCACTGGCTTCCAGTTGAGGCTCGCATCTACTACAAGACCATGGTGCTTGCCTACGGAGCTGTGAGGGGAACGGCACCTCCTTACCTTCAGGCTCTGATCCTACACCCAAACGAGGGCACTACGTTCATCCACCTCTGGCCTGCTAGCCCCCCTACCTCTACGGAAGCTCAGTTCCCGCTCAAAGCTATTCGCTGCTCTGGCACCCCAATGGTGGAACAAGCTCCCCCACGACGCCAGGACAGCGGAGTCACTGACCACCTTCCGGAGACACTTGAAACCCTACCTCTTTAAGGAATACCAGGAATAGTATAAAAGTAATCTTTCTACCCCCCCCCCCCCCCCCCCCCCCAACCCCCCATAAAAAAAAGTGGTTGTCCCACTGGCTATCATAAGTTGAATGCACCAATTTGTAAGTCGCTCTGGATAAGAGCGTCTGCTAAATGACGTAAATGTAAACGTAAATGTAAATTCAGCCAGTCAGTCAGTCAGCCTGAGATGAAAAACCACTCACTGCAGTCCCCCCATCATCACCTGCCATGCACTCTGCTCACCTCTACTCTCTCCATACCCACGTCACCAACTAACCCCACCTCATTCATTATTGAGCTGACTAGTTAATGAATTATGTTTTGAATCAGGCAGTCTGGCCAGCTTGTTTTTACTCACATGACTACTAAGGGAGAGTTCCTGGAACAAGGCTCCATTGGGTCTCTGTGTGTACTGGAGTGGCCACATTGTTTGCTAGTTTAATCCATGTGAGTGGGCATAGGGACCCAGGGGCAAAGGACCTTGTAGAGGAGTGGGATTAGGGGGAAACAGAGGGACACCAAGATGTGTACTGAGTGGGCCTACGAGTGAGATTCACCCTTAAAACACCTAGCATATTCAACAGCCATACCAAGAAAATCTCATGATGTTCAATATTATTGTCTTGAAGAATGTCCCTTTTTTGTGAAGAGTGATGGTACTGAGGATTAATGTGAATGTGTCACATTATTGCCATTGACATTAATGCCTAAGGGTTAGCACAAGTTGTATTGTAGGTTTGTAATGCGCCTTACCTTAAGTAGGAGGTGATACTTGAGAACCCTCTGCATGGGCACTACCAGCAGGTCCTGGAGCTTGAACTTGCCCTCTTGCACCTTCATAGTGCACTCCTACAACAACAACAAAAACAGTACATTACTACAACAGCAGCCAAAGTGTACAAATTCTGATACAAAAGTGTCATTTCAAACTATCACTACAACACATTCCTACAGTAGTGCCTTCCAACAACAGTATCAACAGCTTATTAATTCAAGTTATCAAATCCCTGTGTGTCCCTACCCCTTAGTCAACAACTACACCAGGCCATTCATACTGATATGGATATTCCTCCACTGTATGAGTAATAAAGAACACATTCATCCCTCTCTCTGAATAATAGCCATAACAATGTCCTTGTTACTGTTAAGAAAAACAACGAGCCATACAGCTGCATTGTAATGCATTGAGAGTCAGACCATGACCCATCATAACCCAGTAGATGATGAATTATATTCTCTGCTCTACATAAAGAGATTATTCACTGTGATTATCAGGCCTGATGTCTCTCTCTCTCCTGAAGGGATAACTCTGATCCTTATCCAATTTAAAAGCCACATTGTTGTGTATGTGTGTGTGTGTGTGTGTGTGCACATGCACGTGTGTGTGAGAACACTCCGAGAGTTTGCATGAGCAGGAAGAAACCACTACAATGTACCCAATTCCAAAGCCCTCCTTCTATGAGTCAGATAGCAAGGTCATAATCAACTCCCAGACCCAATCTCAGGCCTCCTATCCTGCACACTAATCCCCCTTCATCACAGAGCTAGTCTTCTCCTATCATCAGTAACTACCCTTTCTCTATCATCACTTCTGACTTGGCTTGGGTCTAGTTTGCTACAGAGAAGTTACTATGTCCCTAACACAGACAGAGTTCTCTATGTCCTCTCTCTGATGCTCCCTAGGCCTTCCAGCCAGGGGGGTTTAACATCCTGTAATATGTGTGTTTAGGGCTGACCGGGAAGTACATGTACCTCAGTGACGGAGGGCAGTTGGAGACCGTACAGTACTGTTCTGTAGACCTCTGCTCCTTACAGTTAAGAGTGTTTCACTGTGTTAGGACATCCCCAGGCATCTCTACTGGGACCTAGGGACCTGTCTTCTACTTACAGTGCATTCGGAAAGTATTCAGACCCCTTGAATTTTTCCACATTTTGTTACGTTTCAGCCTTATTCTAAAATGAATTTAAAAAAAAATTCTCATCAATCTACACACAATACCCCATAATGACAAAGAAAAAACTGGTTTTTAGACTTTTTTGCTAATAAAAATATGTATATTAAGACCCTTTACTCAGTACTTTGTTGAAGCACCTTTGTCAGCGATTACAGCCTCGAGTCTTCTTAGGTATGACGCCACAAGCTTGGCACACCTGTATTTGGGGAGTTTCTCCCATTCTTCTCTGCAGATCCTCTCAAGCTCTGTCAGGTTGGATGGGGAGCGTCGCTGCACAACTATTTTCAGGTCTCTCCAGAGATGTTAGATCGGGCCACTCAAGGACATTCAGAGACTTGTCCCGAAGCCACTCCTGCGTGGTCTTGGCTGTGTGCTTAGGGCCATTGTCCTGTTGGAAGGTGAACTTTCGCCCCAGTCTGAGGTCCTGAGCGCTCTGGAGCAGGTTTTCATCAAGGATCTCTCTGTAATTTGCTCCGTTCATATTTCCCTCATTCCTGACTAGTCTCCCAGTCCCAGCCGCTGAAAAACATCCCCACAGCATGATGCTGCCACCACCATGCTTCACCGTAGGGATGGTGCCAGGTTTCCTCCAGACGTGACGCTTGGCATTCAGGCCAAAAAATTCAATGTTGGTTTCATCAGACCAGAGAATTTTGTTTCTCATGGTCAGAGTCCTTTAGGTGCCTTTTGGCAAACTCCAAGCGGGCTGTCATGTGCCTTTTACTGAGGAGTGGCTTCCGTCTGTCTGGAGTGCTGCAGAGATGGTTGTCCTTCTGAAAGTTTCTCCCATCTGTCAGAGTGACCATCGGGTTCTTGGTCACCTCCCTGACCAAGGCCCTTCTCCCCCGATTGCTCAGTTTGGCCGGGCGGCCAGCTCTAGGAAGAGTCTTGGTGGTTCCAAACTTCTTCCATTTAAGAATGATTGAGGCCACTGTGTTCTTGGGGACCTTCAATAATGCAGACATTTTTTGTTACCCTTCCCCAGATCTGTGCCTCGACACAATCCTGTCTCGGAGCTCTACAGACAATTCCTTCTACCGCATGGCTTGGTTTTTGCTCTGACATGCACTGTCAACTGTGGGACCTTATATAGACAGGTGTGTGCCTTTCCAAATCATTTCCAATCAATTGAATTTACCACAGGTGGACTCCAATCAAGTTGTAGAAACATCAAGGATGATCAATGGAAACAGGATGCACCTGAGCTCTATTTTGAGTCTCATAGCAAAGGGTTTGAATACATATGTAAATAAGTTATTTCTGTTTTTTATTTTTTATAAATTTCCCAACATTTCTAAAAACCTGGTTTCGCTTTGTCATTATTGTGTATTGTGTGTAGATTGATGAGGGAAAACAATTATTTAATCCATTTTAGAATAAGGCTGTAACGTAACAAAATGTGGAAAAAGGGAAGGGATCTGAATACTTCCGAATGCACTGTATACTAACTTTGCGCCAATGTTGAGCAGATGCCAGATGGGTGGTAACGGAGGGGGAGGTGTGTGTGTGTGGTTACTGTACCTCTACTTTCATTTTGACGTCCTCACGCGTGGCGATGAGCTCATCCAGTATCTTCTGGGCAGTCTCCATGTGGCTGCAGTACTGGCCGTAGATCAACAATCTGTATATCAACACATTACATCACTGTATTATTACTAACATACACTGAGTGTACAAACCATTAGGAACACCTGCTCTTTCCATGACATAGACTGACCAGGTGAATCAAGGTGAAAGCTATGATCCCTTAATCGATGTCACCTGTTAGTGTAGATGAAGGGGAGGAGACAGGTTAAACAAGGATTTTTAAGCCTTGAGACAATTGAGACATGGATTGTGTATGTGTGCCATTCAGAGGGTGAATGGGCAAGACAAAAGATGTAAGTACTTTTGAACAGGGTATGGTAGTAGGTGCCAGGCGCACCGGTTTGTGTCAAGAACTGCAACGCTGCTGGGTTTTTCACGCTAAACAGTTTCCCGTGTGTATCAAGAATGGTCCACCACCCAAAGGACATCCAGCCAACTTAACACAACTGTGGGAAGTATTGGAGTCAACATGGGCCAGCATCTCTGTGGAACGCTTTCGACACCTTGTAGTCCATGCCCTGACGAATTGAGGCTGTTCTGAGGGCAAAAGGGGTGGAACTCAATATTAGGAAGGCATTCTTAATGTTTTGTACACTCAGTGTATATTCTATTATAGGGTTCCTGCAAAGGGTACACAATATCAACACAGTTCATCATATAGCAATATGCTGTTGACTCGTAGGACCAGTTCATTACCCAATAACCCATTGGGTGATTGACACTAAGGAGGAGTAAGCCATACTAATAGCATTAGATTAAACATAATTACAACAGTATTAAACAGTTCAGTGGGTGACCCATTTGCCACCATAGGGGGCAGATGTAAAATGAACATATTAATAGATTTCATATGGGCATATCTTTTTTTTCATATGGGCAATATTTTGAAGAATGCACACCTCTACCCAATAAGTCATAATCATAGTATAATCACAGTACACTAATGAAAGATAGTGATTATAATAGATTGCTTTGAAGAGTTCTCATAGGCAGAAAGCCAGTTAATTTGGGCCAGTAAGGACATGAAGGGCACATTCACAACAGGCCCCTGACACAGATCACTTCATCTTGGAACTAGTTGAAAGTTATCTTGACTAGAGGATGGCACCACGCGTGGCACAGATTCCTCTCTCTTATTTTTCAAAGTAGGGCATTGTCACAACTGGCAGTGCCAAACCCCTCTGACGCCAAACCCCTCTCTTAATCTTTAGCGGAGCAGAGTTGGCATTTCTAAAGTCTAATCATGTCCCTGACAGATCCTTGACAGAGACAAGAGCACTGCTCCAGAGAGCTGGGAGATGTCTCCAAAACACAGCAAGAGAGCAGGAGCACAGTATGACAGAAACGCACATTTCTCTTAGAAAATGTCTTAAAACATAGTTGGGTTTCTTCTTCTTTCAATTCAATTACTACAGTAATTCACTAAGCTTTTTAACAGATCACAACTCTTCACTTAATCTTGAAGTTAGAGCATAAGTCACTAACAGACTGCTTTGATAACAGGCACTACCCCAGCTTTCAAAACTAAACCCATCTCCTCCCTAAGCCTCTTACATGGACAAACCCACTAACTGAGCACCTGAAGATTGCACAAACCCCATTAAAATGCTTAGTAACTATCTGACCTCTACCTACTGTACATTCACAATATAACTAGATCCCCATCCGTATTGATGAGTTATCCAGTGGCCGACAATCCGGATGGCTCTCTCCATCCCTAAACCCCATTAATGACTGGCTTAGACTGACCTCCACTGTGAAGCTCCCTGCCTGGGCCTGGTCCAGAGTCAGCGTGGTCTGGGGCTAACAAGGCCCTGATTAGGGCCTGATCCACAGCCAGGGAGATCACTCCTCTCCTTAAGGAGGGGAATCTGATGAAGATTAATGGGTGCCTTGCTCAATTATGAGCCAGGCAGCCAGCGGAAGGCAGATTCAGCAGCAGGCAGCAGCATACTGATGGTCCAGGGCAGGTGTCAGAACGCGCTTTAACAACACGTGTCACAGACCTAATTGAACATGAAGGTCTTATTTTACGAGGCCATTTCAGGAGCGGGATGTTTAAGGTGGAGCGACTGGTGGGGAAAGTGATATTGTGATCAGAGTATGAGGCAAATGATTGGACACCCACTGAGACTAGACACAAGGTTTTGAATCCTTATCGATTGGTTATATTAGAACATGGCAATATACAGGGTATATTTATATGTGACAGAATGGATAAAGGAAGAGTGAATGAGATGACACAGACAGACAGACAGACAAAGATAAAAGAGAGAGAGAGAGAGAGAGAGAGAGACAGCAGAGAGAGTGGGGGAAAACGATAGCAAGAGAAAACAAAGAAATAAAGAGACAAAAGGAGGGAAAGAGAGAGTGTAGGCTACATGAGAGAGCTCAGAGCTCAGCCGGATGGGGTTAGGCAGTGTTCACAGCATGGTTCCATGTAGCCTGTGTAGTGTGTCTGGGGCAGAGCCTCTGTGCCTGAGGGCCCGCTTTCTGAAGCTCCTCCACCACAACTATAAACACTACAAAACCAGGCAAAGGTCTGTGGTGTTGACTGACAAGGACACGGAGAGGAGGTGAACAGGGGCCATCCTAACAGACCAATTTGTCCCCTGTTCAGTGACAGGCCTCAGCGTGGGACACAGGGCCTGCTCTGACACTGACACAGCAGAGAGGACGTGTCACAGTGTTAATGCTAATACTTACAGACCCCTCTAATAACAGGCTTTCTTGTTCCTCCAGCTCTAAAGGAAAGTCACTGTCTTTGTTCTCCTCCCAGAGACAGCCAGTGGAACAAAGGGGATGATTACACACATACGCGCACATGTACAAAGCCACATGTACACACACGCACGCACACACAGCGAAGTCAGCCATAATTAACCCCTGAGACACTGACAGGCGCAGCCTCTCCTCTCCTGATGTCTGGACACATAACATTGGGAGACTTGTGATGCTATGCTCCCCTAGGAACCAGCGATATCTCCTATCACTGCTTCTGTCTTTCCCTTTAAAGAAATGTTTCATTCCTTTTCTCTCCACCAGTCTCACCCCCTCTTCTCTCTCCCTCTCACAGTGTAGCGTGCGGGCTTCTTTGAGTCAAGAAGTAAATGGAACACTATTACACAAGTGCATAAGGATATGATTCTGTGAAACGTTACTCATAAGCTGACCTTAAAACCTCACGTCATATAAAAGGAGTAGCGATACTGATCCAAGAGCAGTAAGCATGACTCACAGGACTGACTGGTAAAACAATAGGGGACACCACTTTATAAAACAGACCTCAACATCACAGAAACATAATTGACTGTACAGATGACAGGCCATGGAGCCAGTCCCATCATTACAGTACATGGCCTTTAAATCTCTCTGAGCTATATAAACAAATGCATAACTGGATGAAATGGATCTAATGAGAGTGCTGTTAACCAAACTGTGTTCTAATATCCTAGAGAGAGTACAGAGTAGAAGATGATGATGAGTCAATGTTGGGATTCTATATTAGAGACAGTCGACAGCATGGAATAAGTCCCCAAAGGGAATGCGCTCTCGATGATGCTAAAGCAGCACTCTGCCTATATGACGGCTTCTGCTAGGCCCTCGAGGAGCATGACATGTCATTTGGAAAAGGTGTTGAAGTGAATCAAAAAAAGTCCTGATTCACGTGGCCTCTGTCGCTTCTGTTGCCTAGCTCGGGGTAGCGGCGCCTGTCAAGACGTGTCCTAGCCAATATTTCCTACTGCGTTGTGACAACGGCAAGAGACAAACAGTCTAGTGGTGTATTCATATGCCCATAGCTCAGTACAGTTCAACACCATCATCCCGGAAACCCTAGACCGACTCCAATTTGCATACCGCCCCAACAGATCCACAGATGATGCAATCTCAATTGCACTCCACACTGCCCTTTCCCACCTGGACAAAACGAACACTCATGTGAGAATGCTGTTCATTGACTACAGGACAACAACCTCTCCCTCAACGTGATCAAGACAAAGGAGCTGATCGTGGACTACAGGAAAAGGAGGGCCGAACACGCCCCCATTCACATCGACGGGGCTGTAGTGGAGCGGGTCGAGAGCTTCAAGTTCCTTGGTGCCCACATCACCAACAAACTATCATTCTCCAAACACACCAAGACAGTCGTGAAGAGTGCACGGCAACGCCTATTCCCACTCAGGAGACAAAAGATTTGGCATGGGTCCCCAGATCCTCAAAAAGTTCTACAGCTGCACCATTGAGAGCATCCTGACCGGTTGCATCACCGCCTGTCAGCATCCGACTGTAAGGCGCTACATTTTTAAAAACATTTTTAGTCATTTAGCAGACGCTCTTATCCAGTGCGACTTACAATTAGTGAGTGCATACATTTTCATACTGGCCCCCTGTGGGAAACGAACCCACAACCCTGGCGTTGCAAGCGCCATGCTCTACCAACTGAGCTACAGGGGACAATGCTTAGTAATTTAGTAACCCAGTAACAGAGGGTACTCGCTGTTTATTATCTATGCATAGTCACTTTACCCCTACCTACATGTACAAATTACCTCAATTACCTCAACTAACCTGTACCCCTGCACATTGACTCGGTACCGGTACCCCCTGTATATAGCCTCGTTATTGTTATTTTATTGTGTTACTTTTTAAAAAACTTTAGCTTATTTAGTAAATATTTTATTATCTTTATTTTCTTAAAACAGCATTGTTGGTTAAGTAAGCATTTCACGGTAAGGTTGTATTCGGCGCATGTGACAAATACAATTTGATTTGAATTGATTTGATGTAATGTAGTTTACAGAAGTTCAATCAGGAAGGCTGGTCTGAATGCTCATTTAACTTCATCCAGTAAGTATAACATAATTCACTTGGTTTCCTATTCTAGGAGCATAGTGGGAATGAATACATACGTATCATCATCAGCATAGCGTCTTGTTGCTTCTCCTCTGTGTGGAACGTCATTCACCTATTTACCTTGTAGACTATAAACTGGGCACAAAAAT